TCAAAATGGAGATATAGGATCACAATTTAATAGGGTTAGGGCACTCTTTTGTACATCAATCAATCCAAAAGTTAAATATGGAGGATAATCCCAGATCGAATGTACGTTGAAGGGCATTGAATATCATCTTCTGTGATTGTAGTGTTAATTGAGTGTGTCTTTGTCTCTTGTCTTGGTTTTTGTCTTTTCTGTGATGTGATGCAAGAAATATTTAAGACTCAATCTGACATCTGACAATAAAGTATTATCATCATCATCGTCATCATCATCATTGTCATCATCATCATGATTTGGTTCAGTGTTCAGGTATTTTATCGAAAATAAAAAGCTGACTTGCAGATACACTGTCACTATCATTCCTGGAGTTTAATTCAACTATCAAACCCCCCGTTTCAGCCCCACGTGTTAGCTGCCTTTTAACTGCAGTCATTTAAAGAGATTAAAATCTGGGTGCTGGATTTATTCAGTCACACAGCATTCAGCTTGAATCAGCGTCCCTGAGGGACATTGGATTGGCTCGTCAAAGAATAAATCTCTGCAAACTGACATGTCAATGAAGCCCTCATGAGATGTATCTTTCTTTTTAAAATGAGATCTTGATCTCAGTAAGACTACCTTTATAAAGATAAAACACAAACTAATTCAAGCCTGAGTAATAAATTATAAGCCCCATATTGACAGAATTCTGACGTAGCACATACTAATACTTTGTTCACGTCTGAGCAGGTCTCAGCTTTCAAACTGGGACTCCCACATTTCTGGTGAAATATTAAAATTCAATTATTTCTCAGAAGTTCATATGACAACATTTTCATGTCTGTTTATTTTTCTTCACCTCAGCAACCCAACTGTATCCTCTTTTTTTTCTATCTTTTCCTTGTAGAGTTATAGACCGTGCATAGGGAGCAGTGCACCTTGAAGGTCTTTCAAGTCTCAGCACAGCAGTGCATATCTTACCTGTGTACGGTGGAGTTGCAGCAAGCTGCTGCCCCAGGGCCTCAGAGCTTTTACCTCCACCCCCTCCTTTAGTGTGGTCCATGTCCTTGCTGGTACACTGTAAAAAGGTATAATCTACTTTCCAGCCTCCCTGTCATAGATTGTGCAGACATGGTGACGGTAGAGTAGCAGTTTCACTACTCATGTTTATTTGGACAGCCGTGTTTGTCATACAAAATGTTATTATTTTCTCCACCTGCATGTAATATTTTCTCTTTTTGACTCGTTACTGAATCAAAAGAGGTTTTGTCTTGTAACATTTCTAGAAATTACACAGATTGTTAATTACATTTACAGAAATAGTTTGACATTTAGGGGAAAAGGCTTGTGTGCTTTCTTGCAGAGAGTCAGATTGATACCACTCTTATGACTATACAGTACATACTGTATTAAGCTGCAGCCAGTTAGCTTAGCTTAGCACAGAGACTGGAAATAAGGAAACAGCTAGCCTGGCTCCGTCCAAACTAACTACATTTAAAACCTGTAAAATAGATTTTTGTATCAAACAAATGAGAACATTTTAAGCAAAGCTAGCTGTTTTTACATTTCATTCTAGCTACATAGCACACAGAGCACGAGAGTGGTATCGATCTTCTCATCTAACTCTCGGAAAAGAATAAGCTGTAATTCTCAAAATGTCAAACTATTCCTTGTCAAGTAAAGTCAGGCTGTCACAACTATAAAGTCAACCATTAAACCCCAGAATCGAGCAGATTTAGGAGGATATTAAACTGGCATCTCAGCCTTTTCTACAAAATGGGTTTTAATCAGGATAAATCAAGAAGTATTGTTGTGTTCATCAAGACAGAACAGGCCAAACATTCCCCTGAACTCTGTGAGACTTCTTCTCACCATCTTGAATACAGAGCTCCCTCCTTTCATGCAGTGCAGCATTCCAGGCAAGCTGAAACACGATCATGTTTGTTCCCGGTCTGAGGGAAGCAGTTAAACTGGGTGGATGCAAGGAAATGGGTCACACATATACAACTCTGTAACTTAAGAGTATAGAATGTTTTAATTAAAAGTCATGTTAATCTTGTGACACCTCCTAACAGGTATTTTGAGGTAGAGTTTAGAGCCCATTGCTTTCACATAATTGAAGTATTTTCTTTTTTTGAGTCCAGAGGAACACCAAATGGGCACTGCACTGAATAAAAACCCTCTTCTACAATGTGCTTTTTTTCAGTCCTGCACTTATAAAAATACAAAATAAGTTCATTTACTCAAAAGTACAGTTTTTCTATGGCATTCTCCATCAGTAGCTTCATTCAAACAGGGAATAAATCCTCTAAACAACACGCCTAAAGAGACATCCCTTTGAAGGAAAGGCAAAGACGGTATCAGCAAACATAAAAAGAGCTTATTACGTCTGTCATTTCCATAAAATTTGGGTTTTGAAAAGTACCGCAGGATGTGTTTATTACCGATACATTTTCACCACAGTAATAAGCCCCAAAGTTTCCAGTTGCTATAGTCAGCCAGAACTCTTCTTAACTGGAAAAAACATCAGAGAGAAGATTCTTCTGGGATTAATAACAAGAATGACTTTCAAGGTTTCTAAATTCAATTGATCATTTAGATGTAAACAGGTTGATGATGCTTTCAAAATGCTTTCATGTATCATTATCAAATTATTTATAACTGAGTCTGAGAGATTAATGTGTTGTTGAATATTGCTTGTTGTTTTTACATCTTTTACCATTTTAGTTGCCTGTTTGCCCCTGCATCAGTATAACCAGCACCAGAAATAGTGATTCAGATTCTATGCAGTTATTGTCGTGATTCAGATTCTGATGTTTGTGTAATTCAAAACGTTTTCTGCGGGGGAGGAGAGGGTTTGGTTGAACATTAGTTCCTGACTAAAATCAGGACCAGATCAGGGTGTGGACAAGGCAAAAAGGGGTGAGGTTTAACACTGTTGCTGCATCGCCATTGGTGGACACGGGGGACAAAAATGCTTGTACCTGGTGCAGGTAAACAGACTGACATCAGGCACAGCAGGGGTGGATCGGCTGGCCAGATTTACTGCAACCCCTCATCTTCATTTAACCGACCATTCTGGACAAATTGGCCTTTTTTTTGTATGTTTGGCTTTTGTACAGGTTTGTGTTGTATACCTTGTCTAACTAGACAGACAGAAAAACAGAAAAGTTAGCATTTGTAGGTTTATTTCTTTGGTTAATGTTAAGCTAAACTGGTGTTTGCTTTTGCATTTCACACATCTTGGCTTGTTAATCAGGTGAGTTGCAGCTGGAGGTTGAACAGATGTTGACAATGAAAATTTATCAGCTATTGACAGTTCTGTTTTAGCAGCAGAATTCTGCCTTGAAGGTCATTTGAGAGTGAGGTTTAAGGGTTACATTTGTGTGGGTTTGTCACTAGATGTTTAACAGCACCCTGCATTCATTGGGCTGAAAAGACTCCAGAAGGAGGAAAAACAGTGAAAACAGGTCTTGTCTTGTGCAGGGAGAGGCTTGCGTGTCACACCCTTCTCACACACACACACAAAAATACATACACACTTACACATACACATAGAAAGATACATGAACATACACATGAATGGAACCTGTTTTTCATGTATTTGTTCTTTTCGACTACATTGCCACTTCTTCCCAACAGGAAAAGAAAGAATGACATCATTGGTTGGTTGAAGTGAATCAGCGGTGTCAACTATGTAATTCCCAGTCATTCTTCACCGGAGGCGCCAGCCCGCTTGCTGCTCTAATGAAACCATCCATGTATTCTATCCTTCATTCCACCGGAGTCTGTGTAAAGTACCAATCAGATTTCAGTGGTTTGAAGGGTAAGACACATGGAATTTGTCATCCGGAGAGAGCTTTCCAAAAGATACTGTCACATTGTGGAGGATTTTAATGGTTGCATTTTTTTATATTAAAGGTGAATGTTGCTCTTTGACAAAATATCAGCCTTATTGTATTTAATATTCTTCTTCTTTGATTTCAACTTGGTATTGAATGAAACAGTTCTGCACAAGCACAGAAAGGACTACTCCTCCTCCTTACCTGCATTGCGACAGCAGTTGAATAGAGCCACACTGATTGCACTTTAGTTATTGCAGGATCACAGAGCGCTGGTAGCCCCACTTTATGTATTTTGGACTGTCACTCACAGTGGCTGTTATGTCTTCACTCTGTCTTTCTGCCCTTGCTTCTCCAAGACATGACAATTACATAATGACTCCTAAATTCCCACATTGCCATACCCACAGAAAACTCTTTGGCCAAGCCAAAGCTTTGTGTCCCTGAAGTCTCTTCTTCTTCCAACTGCACCCAAATAACTCATACTCATACATTGTCAGCACTGTATTGAGTAATTCAGTAGTGGTTAATGAACAGCTTTTTCAGCTTTTTTCTCCAAAGAATATAGTTTAGAATATAGACCCATCAGATTTTAACCAATTCTCTGTGGGACAATTAACCTGCCTCATTAGCCCAAGACACTTTCCTAGATTCTATTCAAAGCCTTAATTATAGCTAAATGGGCAGCTGGAAGTCATTTGACAGCTACATTGATGCCTGAGTCACCCAGCTATAATTCTTCCATCCAATTAAGATGGAGAGAACATAACGAACAAACAAACAAAGCAACATAGTGCCAGATCAGCAGAGATTCATACAGACCTGTATTGAGTAACAGTGTTGTGAAGACAGTTTTCTTCCTTAATTATAGACAGTGAGACAATAGGTTCCCTCTGCCCACAGGTACACCTACACATCTCATCCAAAGCTACAGGTATTAAACAAACATCGGTTATTTCACAACATATCTGGAAACATAACATTTTTATAAATATTACAGACAAAAATGCAATTCTTTCAACCAATCAAACTGCTACAGATGAAAGAACAGTCTCTCCTGTCTGCCATATATATTATTTAGCCATATAAAGACAGAATGACCCATGCATGACTCAGACTAGAAAAATTCAGTGCTCTTGGCTTCCTCTGCTGGCATGTGAGTATCAGTCATTCCAGCAGGCCTCACATAGTAGAAAGACTTGTGGCTTTCTCCTGAACAGGCTTCTCTTGCAGTACACACCTCAGCCTGCCATTCACCTTCCTGTTTGATGCAATTATGACAACAGGGCTTAGTGCTGCATAGAGTGACGAGAAGAATATACGCAGGTCAGAGATCAGCGAGGAAATCATGGTCTTCCTCACAGTGAGAGTGTACACCCAAAGCCCATTATCTACCCCAAAGAGGACCACATATAAGGTCACAAGTGCTATCACGGCTTTGGCAGCTCGTTGCTCGGCCCCACCCCTCCCCCTGCCGCCACCACTACTGCTGCTGCCACGGAGCCCCTTCACCTGCTGGCTGTGCTTGTAAAGGAAGACCAGGATGATTAGACTAGCTAGAGTCATAAGGGCCATGGGCACCACATCTCTGCCCACCTGGGCTGCCCCGATTGCCTCTTTGGCCAATTCTGAAGGAAAGTGAATGTAGCAGAATTCTAAATTGATGCTGTGGTTTATTAGACTTGAGTCATTCCGGACGCCGAGGGCGTAGAGTAAGGTTGCATAGCTCATGCCAGTGTTGAGGAGCCAGAGGAAGAGGAACACAAAGCCCAAATAGTGGGCTACCAAGGCACGGATAGAGGCCCAGCGTGATCCAGGAGGGGCAATACTCAGGCACTGGTAGGCACTTAGGATGAAGGTGAGCCAGATAGATAGGGAACGGGATGTTCTGTAGATATAAATCACAGCTTTGCAACTTAAGTCTCCAAAGATAATGGCCAGGCGAAGGGAGGCCAGGGTCTCCAGCAGGCAGCGAACAGCCACCACCAGGAAGTTGACGCAGGCCAGGTGCAGGACAATAGTATCAGCTGGCAGGAGCCGGTTCTCCTGGTACAGCAAGAGGAGGAATGCCAGGATGACAGTAATGTTACCCGGGACTCCCACAACAGTGAGGGACAGATAGAGCATCCCGCGGACAAACTGCACTGATGGCATACCTGTAGGAATAGAAAAGAGTACAGGTCAACTTTACCAATTAAATAAAGCAGGTATTGTTGATAATGTCTTTCTGAATGTTAAGTAATACCTAACATTCAAAATGATACCAGAAACATAATTTTATACGACTACCTGAGAACAGTTAAAGCTAACAAGGTCTGAAGTGGACTTTGTCTTTTATCTCTCTTTCCTGAAGTAGTCGAGTTGTTTGTGTTCTTATACTTGCAAACAGGTAACGGTTGGATCTGTTTTTCATGGTCCATTGACTTCTCTTCCCTCAGCCTCCAATTACTTGAGATCAATTCAGATGACTGCTTCAGTCCCCTCACTGGATTTCAGACTGACAGGATGACACAGAGAAAGCTGTGTTTGGATTCATTTACAGGGTGATCCAACAAGTGGACAGAGAAAATGGTGTTAATGAAGAGATAATATCTATTAAGGTCATGTTTAGGCTAAAAAAGTGTGGAGACCATTGAATACTTTTTCTTGTTAGTGATCCTATATTTAAATTTCCTTTTAAGACCCTTCACATTGTTCTTTTAATTTACATTTCTGCAAGCAAGAGACCTTGATTGTAAAGAGACCTTCTTGTGTTGGTTAGTCAAATACCAACACCACAGTGTCCTCCAGTGGAGAAAGTAGAAACAAAGTTAAAGCCAGAGGACATTCCACTCAGTCTGCATGATAAATCGCCCACAGTTTCATTCGTAGAGTGTGGCGTAGCATGCAATTTATGATTGTGTAATCCATCCAATGCAATAAAAGTTCTAAAAATGGAATTAAACCTAAACTGTGAGGATGTTGTAAGGGCAAACCAGTGTGGGTGGGGTGCATGATTTAACATGTCCCACAGCAGGGACTTGGTAATGAATATTAAGCCCATTTTTCATAAGTACATGATGAGAATTGTTCTTCACTAAAATTAAAAGAGAACATACTACAATGAGGCCATTAATGAGATGATGTGCAATAACCATTTTAAATGTATATTTCAAATAAGATGTTTTCAGGTTTTGGATGGTGTTGAGTTGATTTTTTAGGGTTTACACAAAACCGAGGTACCAAGTGACTTTATACTTTATACTTATAATTTACAGCATTTCAAAGATAAATATTGTACTTTTTACTCCTTCACAAGTAGATATAAGCATCAGCATATATATAAATAGCTTTTGTAATGTATGATGCTTTGTACCCAATATTATATAAAGCAGTTAAAATTAGCTTCACCTTAACCAACTGCACCAGTTAAGTGATACTAAAACATCAACAACAATAATCCAATGATATAATATAAACAGTAATAATCTAATACTCACAAGGACCAGTACATTTAAGTACATTTTTTAGTGTTACTTACATACTTTTGCTTACCATTTACAATACCATTTTTATTTCAGGACTAATGGAGTATTTACAGTGTGATATTGCTACTTTTACTTTTTGAGAGGATACAACTTTACAATTTAGGTACACTTCAAATGAAAATGTGTCTTGCAGCCATGTGAAACGTAGATAAAAAATACTTTAAGGTAAAACAAAATAGAAAACAACAAAACAGAGAGAAAGTCTGCAGTCAAATAAAATCTAAGGTCACTTTTGCTCTCCTCCCCTTAAATGCAAATAAAGAGTCTAAGGCCCATCAATATCAGACTGCTAAGCCAAAAGCCTCTTATACCACATTTTTGCTGTGGGACAGATTAACTGGCACAGTGAGGGGTGCACTGAATATTCCCTCTTCACCTCCCAAAGCTGTTGCCCTCACTAGCATACTTAAAGGGTGAAAGTTACATATCTCTGTAAACAACTAACTTAAATACTTGAGAAGCGACCTGATTTCAGATAATACAGCGCATAATGATGAGAGAACTCATAGAAGTGAATACATTTTTGAATACTAAGGCAGTGGCCATGTCAATTATGTATTAAACAGGATTGTTTTTATTTAGCAAAGTATCTTAAACAGAGATTTCAGCAGTATGAAAAGATTTGTCTCAGTTCAGTTCAGTTTATATTGTCAAAGTCTTTTAATATACATGCAAAACCAAAACAGGTAATATTTTATTCATAAATGTGTCCCCTAATCAGAAATATGATATGATGTGTCACATTTATTATTGCATGTATAGATTCCAAGATATTGTGCATATGGTTTTTGACATTATATTGTAGTATATTGTAGTATATAGATGTCAACTTACTGTCTATTGATATTATTGTAACATAATCAGTTCATGTTAAATTAAAATTGAATAAGTACAATGGGGGAAAACAATTTACATTATCTAATCTCATGTCATGAAGGGGGAGCCAGAATTTTAACCTTTAGTATGCTGTAACCAATACAGCATACTGTAGATGATGCAATCCCCTGAGAAGGACATGCTTGAACTTGCCATTTTAATTAGCTCTCTGAACATGTAAACATGTAAAAAACACACAGGTGATGCTTTATTCCAATGCCCACTTCCAGTAGAAAACACACATCTCAAACAACATTCTCTCAGCACACAAACCTGGTCTGAATTTTGCAACTGAGATATCAGTTATATGGAACTCAACAATAGGTTAGACATTTTAGACATTAGACATTTACAGTTTATGTAGATAGTGCTGGAAAACCTGGGTAAGATGTACAAAATTCTGTTGTAGCACATGTCAGTGCACGAACTTAAATGAATAGTGGCTGGTTGTCCCTATGCCTCCAATTAGTGCAAACATGCATTGTTATATGGCTAATTGTCTTGCTCCTTTGTGTCTTTTAACATGCTCCCAGAACACGAAGGAGGAAAACAGCACAAACTGAAGTACCAGCTGTGCATGTAAAAGCCTCTTGATGGCTCATTCAAGGCATCATCAGGCTGCTTTCGTATCAACAATAACCGCACACTGTTGTCTCATCAGGGGTTGTTTAACTCTATTTTTTAACTCCATGCGGAATTACCATTATAATATTCCAGGGGGTTGATGTGCAGTCTTTCTGTCTATAGAAATTGAAAAGTGGCATGTGGTATTTAAGTCCAAGAGAATACCACTAAAGTTTAGAATTAATTTATTCATATGTCCTAAAGCAGATCGGTTACTTAATATGATGATAAACAATTTCTTAACATTAAAGCCTAAAACTAATGTGGAAAGCTGTGTTGATGTACAGCCTGGAGAACCTTCATTCTTATCAAGAAATAAAGGTGATTTGCAGACTCATGCCACATTTGTTTCAAGTTTGATATAATGCTTGTGCTACTGTTTCTTTGTTCCAAACCAGACCATTTCTGGCTGCACTCATCTTTCCTAGGTATGTATTTATTTAGTCTTAAAACAATACTCACATTCTGTGCTCCCCGCTGCTTTGGGCACAGCAAAACAGCCACCGTGGCGCAGCACAAGCATTAGGATTCAAAGTGCTGTGGTGACGTTGTTACGTTGTATCTGAAAGGGCCTTTAAAGATTTCTTTCTAACATGTTTCCAATGGGAGTGAGGACTGTGGATTTTGTCCTCCATCACTTCCATTGGAAGAATGGTGGGAAGGGATCTCAGCCAGTACAAACGAATGATTACAGCAAGAAAAAACATGTTTCAGCATTCACAGACTTGAAAAATTGGGTTTATCCTTCGGTGCAGTTCTTGTCCTCTGAGACAAGAACTGCAAAGGGATGTTTTTGTGGGATGAACACTGCAATATTGGCCAATGATCTCGAGGGAGATCGAAGACTTATAAATTGTACTTACACAGGCTTTTACCCAGTTAACGAACAACAGGCTGCAACTTCAGGTGAGCATCATTTCACTGACATGATTATATTCAAGCTATTTAGTTGTATTAGTTTCTATCAAACTTGAGTTAACAGTCTTAAAGGATGTTTCTTGTGTGTTGTATATTCATAACAGATTTGATTCTCTGTCTTCTTTGCAAATTGTGACTGGTGCAGGCCTTGGTGTCATGGATCTATGTGTGACCATCAAAGGGGTCTCCTTCCTCTTGCAAACAGGTATAGGCATCTTGGGGAACACTGTGGTGCTGCTGGCGTACGCCCACATCATTTCCACCGAACCCAAGCTCCTTCCTGTGGACATGATCCTGTGCCACCTGGCCTTCGCCAACCTGATGCTGCTACTGACCCGCTGCGTCCCCCAGACTATGACTGTGTTTGGGCTGAGGAACCTGCTGAATGATCCCGGCTGTAAGGTGGTAATCTACGCCTACCGCATCGGCCGGGCTTTATCAGTCTGCATCACGTGCATGCTCAGCGTGTTTCAGGCAGTGACTATCGCCCCTGCCGGGCCCCGTTTGTCCAGGTTGAAGCCTGCACTTCCCTCCCTGGTCCTCCCCACATTTGCAGGACTGTGGATCCTCAACATGGCCGTATGCATTGCAGCCCCTTTCTTCTCTATGGCTCCACGTAATGGCACCATCCCTGCCTTTACCCTCAACCTGGGCTTCTGTCACGTGGACTTCAGAGACAACCTGTCCTATGTGATAAATGGGGTGGCTGTCTCTGGGAGGGATTTTGCCTTTGTTGCCCTGATGATGGGCTCAAGTGGTTACATCCTGCTGCTTCTCCACCGCCACAGCCGCCAGGTGAGAGGGATCCGCCGCTCTCAGGGTGGTGGAGCAGAGACCAGGGCAGCCAAAACAGTGGTCACCTTGGTTGTTCTGTATGTGGTCTTCTTCGGGATTGATAATGTGATCTGGATCTACATGCTGACGGTGGCGAAGGTGTCGCCAGTGGTGGCTGATATGAGGGTGTTCTTTTCCTCCTGCTACGCCTTTATCAGCCCATACTTTATCATTTCCTCCAACAAGAAGGTCAAGGCGAAGATCTTGTGTGCAGCTGCACAAGACCAACCATCAGCCGCCAATCAGGAGTCAAGTGACAAATAACTCGTTCTGTATCTTGACAGGCTGTCGACTGACCAGCAGGACAGCAGAGTTGTTTTCTAAGAGCTTATCATTTTGGACGCAGGTGCACAGATGACTGTCATTTAGATAAATAACGGACCCTTTAGAAAGTAGTACCACACAGAAGTGTCTTGCAATGGTGTAGGTTTTCTCTTAAATGTATACTTTCATCAAATACACAGGTGTCTGTACCTTTCAGGTGGTTTGTGGTTGTTTTGTATGCCAGCAAAAAAAAATGTACACATCTACATTATTGTCATTGGAGCTAAAATAATGAATCAATTAGTCAATCAGGAAATTAATATCTTTCAGTTTTTAGTTAATTCATTCTTTATGTGATATTTCAAGCAGATATACCAAACATTCCCTCTTTCCTGCTTTCTCGTTTTGATGATTTGCTTCTTTTCTTGGTCTTTTGTGATCATAAACTGATTTTCTTTGAGTTAGGGACTGCAACTACAACTGTACTACAAAAGCAATTTGAACAGTTCCATAGCCACCATGAAGGGCACCAAGGTCATCTCCTCAAAACTGTTTCAGGGAATTTAGAGGTTTTATTGTTGAGATGGAGTTTATATTGAGTCAAAATCTTAGATTCTTTTATATTCCTAGCGTTGTGGGAAGGCTTTGAAGCAGTAGGCTATATAGACATTTATGTGGCGAGCTAGCCAAATATATATTTTACAAGTTAAGTTAATGTTAGTTAATCACTCTTTTTTTTCTTTAAAGTGTTATATGGCTATTGAGTTTACAGTAATTCTGAAAATCCCGTGTCCACCAAAGCGTTTTTTTCAATTCATTCCAATGGGAGCGCCGCGTTTTTACTAGCTGGTAAAAACGCCAGGAGCGTGACGAGGCGCTGAGCGTCTTTTCCACACTGAGCGCTGAGCGTTTTTTTCCGGTCGCCGAGAGTTGAAAAATGTTCAACTTTGGGAAAAACGCTGCGCTCGTCACTGTAACTTTTTACCCAGCCGTCCAATCACAGTGCAGGAGGGGCGGGACAAACACCGCACCGAGCACATCCGATCTTGAACGAAACGATGTGCCTCTTCCAGGTGTTTCCTCGCCCGCAAAATCACATGAACCCACGTAGTCTATGCTCTCATGTTTCAGCCTGCTCTTCATGCAGAGCAAAGAGCCAGCGCAAGTAGGCCTATATACTTTGTGGTGACATTTTTACATTCACTAAAATTAAGTAGGCTACCCTACTTGCAACACGTCGCCTCCACGGAAATTATGTATCTTAAAACACTGCGCCTCCAAAACGCACCCTAGCGCTCCCAGCTAGGCGTTTTCAGCTGGTAAAAAACGCTTTGGTGGACACGGCCCCTAGTCCTTCATTTCTAGATTAGGAAATTGTATAGACCAAACGATTCTTTCAGAAAGTAGGCCTAATAGATAGAATAATCAATAATGTAAATATTTGTTAGTTGCAGTCCTATTCATTATCATCATGCACGCTCTCTCTTGCTGCGGCCTGATTGGCTGAAATGTTCGTATTAATTCAGGAAAATCAATGGGTAGGTTTTGTCCTTACATTAGCCTTCCAGGCAGCACTCTCCCTCTACTAATGTGCGACAAGCTTCATCAGTGAAATGTTTATGTTGAAATGCAGAGCACAAATTGTTGATTCAAGGTTCAAGGAAATGGTAGCGGTTTATTGTCTGTCAATCTAACGTACGGAAAAGGATTCTGAACGAGCGAAAACGCCGCCTGAGAGACAACACTCAGGGAAGGGAAGGTTCCTGTGGAGCACAACAAACCTCGGAAAAGGGAAGCGGAAGCAGAACTCAAACGTTAAACAGCAGTGAACTTAGCAGTTCATAGTGAAGTACATAATATCTGAGATAAACCTATCAGCAACCAGACGTGTGCGTAAGAAGGAAATAGTGCAATATTTTCAAGTCATTAATTGCGTCGAAAAGTGTCAGGTGACCTAAAGCTCGTAGTAACTAGTTAGCTGAATTTGACAACAAGACGCTGCGACGCCACTGAAACTGATGATAAAGTATTTAACGAACAGTTTGTGATGATCACTAAAAGTATCTTCCAGTGTGTACCAAATCAATCCGTAGGTTTTCATCTCAGGTAAGCTAAGATAACTACTTTGGCCTCTTGCTAACGGTAAGCTATTGTTAGCTAACGTTTACTTGGTTAAGTTACAGCGATCAATTCAGCAGATGCTTTACGTTAACGTTACTTCATAACTACACTAACTTTACTGTGCTTGTAACTTACAGCTAACGTTACCTTTATATTTAGTTTCTTTTGTTAAACATTGTTCTTAGTTGCATTTTATGTCAGGTGCAATGTGTCTGCAGCACTTTTTTGTTTTATTGAACAAATCTGGATTTGTGCCCAGACCCCTCTGTTTCCTGAGATCTTTGTGAAATGACCTGACTTCACTGTTTCCAGCATCAGATGGTAATGGCCAGAATAGCCTGGTATCAAGAGAAGGTAAGACAAACATTTGAAGTTAAAGAAGTAGCCCTATTTTGAAAGTGTACATTTAATCCATCCAACAAACCGATTTCTAAGAAGGTATAGGTCACTTAAGACATTTCTGAATCATGTAGATTTTGTAATATTGGCACAGAAAGAACTATCTATCTATCTATCTATCTATCTATCTATATATAATCATGAAATTACCTTAAGTATTAATTTATTTTATTAGGTTATGTGGTTCACTGACAGAGACGCTGCTCATTGATCAACATGAACCTACTTTTTAGTTACTACATGGAACCTTTTAAGTTTTTCACCATGTTTACCTTGACCGGTTTTGTATGACTGTGTTTTCAGTCCAAACAAAGGTGGTAGAAACTATGAAGGTGTGACCTGTTCAGCAGGTTAGATCTCCTGCCACTGATAAGACAGTGTGTTATATGTCTGAAAATTTTATTTACAATTGTTTATGTTGATCTATTCTAAAATTTCTGTTTCATATCCATCATGATATATGTATGCGGCTATTCATGCGCTGTCAACCATATATACCTTAATGTATTTATTAAGACACTGTGGTCTGCTCTGCCTCTCTTTTCCCTCTTTCTCTACAGAAACGGGTAAAAATAAAAAAATAAAATAAAAAGGAAAATGCCTTCTGCTTTAAGGCTCTCTTTGATTTGAGTAATGTATCAGAAACCTGAGCCCAAACATGCAATTTTAAACCGTGACACTTTTCTTTCATTTTAACTGGGAAAAACCTTTGTGCAGTAAATAGCAGTAACTGACTATGTGACAGTGCCATCACTTTAACATCTCTTCCTAACAGCGTGTGTGTGTGCGCATGTATGTATTTCGGCCTGTGTGCGTGTCAGAAAACATATAAAAATAATAGATGGAGTTAATTTCCTCTTAAGGGGGGGATTCATAAAAGCAAATTTTGTTCTTCTAATATAGACAAACTTTATGACTAAGGGGTGCAAATCCTGAGTGTATTATTAATAATTATATTGTTATTTAGATTATAAGTCTTTGTTGTCACTATAGATCGGGGCCTACGATCAACAAGTTTGGGAGAAATCTCTGGAGCAAGCGGATCTAAATGTAAGAAACATTCAAATATCTATAAAACAGTGTTTGTGTATTTATGTTGTGCATTACCACTGAGGTGAAAATACCACTTGCCGTTCATTTAGGGTTTGGACAGTAAACCAAAGAAGATGGGTCACATCAAATCAGACCTCATCGATGTTGACTTAGTAAGAGGTGAGGGTCTATGAAGAGCAGTTCTCTACCTGTTATGCCTCCCCTGCCAGAACATACCACACCAGTCTATGTGCTTTCTGCCTGTGTTCTGCTTGTTTCACTGTTTGTATGTATGTATTATAGTTTCATTGAAGCTTTATAAGAGATTTTCTGATTCCTCACCTCAGGATCAACATTCAGCAAAGCCAAACCACAAAGTCCCTGGACAGCTCTAACTCGGAAAGGTCTGGTCAGAGTGCTGCTGTTCCCCTTCTTCTTCCAGTGGTGGATCCAGGTGACCTCCAAGTCCATCTCCTCATGTATCCTCGTGCTGTACTTCATGCAAGGTTTGCTCACCATTTCTAATGTAACTTCTATTCATACTGGGGCAGCGAGTTTCTCGGAAAACTCCCAACAATTTGAAAATGACCGTGGTAACAAAAGAAGTTACAGACTACACAGTTTAAACTGACTCCTACTGTTTTGTCTTGCTATTATTCATATTCACAAAAGATTCCAATTCTGCTTAGTCTTGTCTTTTACTGAAGATTTCATTAAAAAGTCATTTGGAGAAGAGGTTTGGAAGAATAGTAATCCCTTCTATAATACAGTTAACAATCACTGATTCATGTGCTTTAAGATCCACAGAGAAGTACAATACATGGAGCCAAGCTATAATAATAAACATGACATGCAAGTGGCATCATGGTTTTAAAACTAACTTGTAAAAAGTAGAAAGAGAATCTGTCTTCTTTATACACCGTGGCTCCTGTTTAAAAGACGTTTTTAGCAACAGTGACATTTTGAGTGGTGTTCTTTATGTAAAACATTACTGCAGCTACAGTAAAAAATTCCGTCAAGCGGGTGCTGAAGGGTTTTTGGATTTTTCTTTGCTAAGCCGGAACACAATGACACACTCAGTCATCAAAGGAAATAAAGACAGTACATGGTTTTTGGTATGTACTCAGTATGTACTTCAGTTTCTCCATTTGTCACAATTTAAATTCAGTTATGTGCAACAAAAAACGTGTAACCCCTCACACCTGAGCCACACAGAAAGACCTCATTAGTAAGCATGAATTCTCTTATAATGGCTCCCTAAAGAGACCGTTTTGTTTGCTGTTGCCAAATGTTTTGCTCCCTTCAGTGGCAGCAGTGGTGCTGTACTTGGAGGTCCCTGGGGCGAGTGCCAGCGAGGTGTTTGGACCCATGTGTCTGATGCTGCTGCTGGGTACCGTGCACTGCCAGATTGTGTCGACCGAGTCCAGCAGGTGGCCCTCGGGCAGTCCAGCTGCCAGCTGCACCACCAGCCCTGCGCGCAGAAGGAGGTGGTTTTCACATTGTTGCACTGCACACTCATTTGCCTTTACCAACACCCTCTCACCTCCTGGCACATGCATAAACTCCAGCATTACGCACACAAATACACCCAAAGTCAAACTAAATCGAGTTATTCTAAAGCTACTCTGATACTCTCAGTAATCCTTTCACTCATGTGTTTTGAGTTCATTTTGTAATGCTTGTTGTATCTACAATCTCTTGACTATTATATTTTTTTCTCCTTCAGGCCAAGGAAGGGCAGAGGGCTGAAAAAAACAGAAGGAAAGAATGACAGCGGGGACACAGAACAGCAGGGACCCTGGCAGTTTGAAGAAAGCCAGCGATTATACAGCAACGAAGAAAGGAGGGTACAGTCACTCATCTCAGTAGTCAGTCTCAGCACTGTGGAATGATGCAAAGAAAGGACTAACTTATAGCAGCAGTAAAAAGTCATTTTCAGAATTACAAAACATTATTTTTTTAAATTATTAGATCAATGTGTAACTGATCTGTTATTTCTGGGGGGGGGGTTTGTTGTTTGCTGCCTCAATATCTGTAGAAAGGCAGATTAATTCTAACCTAAATCAGTGTCAATTCAGCAGATCTATGGCACCAGTATGATAAAGGTAAATTAAAAGGTGTATCTTTAATGTAATCACTGACCCTACTTGACTGTGACTAGAGCTCATAATAAATACTTGAACCTTCATTAATGTTGTATTTTCTCTAAGGCTACTGCATTGGAGTTCATTAGATTGTCAGATAGTGATTTTGTTCATTTCCTGTAGCACAGGTTTGTATTCAAAGCTGCTCTAGCCTTAAGGTTTTTAATTCCACTCTAACTGCAGGTTTGGACAAAATATACATTCAGCTGGTTTTTGGTGCACCTGGAAATGCACTCAAGTGTAACTAAGTCTAGCTCTCCTGGCCTGTGGAAATTTTGTTTTGATTACTCTCCTTTTAGAAAGATTTAAAAAATTATGGTATCTAATTTATTTTTATCATAAACTATGCCATTAAGAATGATTAGTAATTTGAAAAATGTATCAAACATGAGTAGGTAAAAATCCAAATGTGTGGATGTTTTATATTACACTTTAAGAGTGTAGTCTTTGGCATTTGTTAAATTCATGTATGTTTTAGAAAGACATTTTTAAGATGTACAGATGCCTTGATATTCCCTCACAGAACAAAAGACAGTCAGGATTTGGGGCATCCGACGAGCTCTCCAGTGAGGAAGAGGAGGGGGTACAACCAGTGGAAGTAATTCATCCAGTACTTCATGATAAGAGACACCCTGCTATGACTTTGCCGACATCTACGGCAATGTCTTCTTTAAGGAAGAGAAGTCTAAAGTCTAACCCCAAACCCACATTAAGACCTCAGGTAAATATTATTGTTACACTGTGTGGTCATGAAACTGGAGTTACATGTGCAAGATGCATCTTTTTATATACAACAAGCTTTCTGTTGCTATAGAGCTTAAATATAGTGAGTGAGTTAGATATATTCTTTACATAAGTTTTGTGTGTTTCTTATTAGTTCAGTACGAGTGAGACAAATCTTTATATACTTAAAACAGGAAGAGAGTGGGGCTTCCATCAAGGTGAAGCCTCAAGAGGTGGAGCGCCTCAGGCCAAGTGTAGGCTCTCGTCCTGCCTCTGACACTGATGACACAATGTGGGAGGAGCTTCTCCAAGGGCCTGACTCCGCCTCCAGCGGGAGCAGCGACAGTGAGGGGAATGGGAGGTACAACGCCGGCATGGCGCTTCCGCAAACCACCATTCTGAGCAGTGATGATGAGAGCCTACAGCAGGGAATCCCTGGAGTAAGAGCGCCAAAATAAATCTTCAATACTCTTCTGTGGTCTGGTTTTGTCTTATCTAGTCTTAAAACATTTCCTGAGTCAGTGTGTTGGTACATTTCATTCATGAATGTCAAACATTCCTAACGGGATGGTGTTATGACCAATGCTGTTGAAGTAATATTTAATTGATAAATTCCCATAGTTAAAATTAATTAGAGAAAATCCCATAGTCCACCACGGGATTTTCCCTAATTAATTTTCTCTAATTAATTCTCTACTTTGTGTCTACTTAGTTTTAAAACCATGATGTCACTTGCACGTCATGTTTATCATTACAGCTTGGCTCCATATATTGTAGTTCTCTGTGGATCTTAAAGCACATGAATCAGTGATTGCTAACCGTATTATAGAAGAGGCTCATGAAGGGATTACTGTTCTTCCAAACCTCTTCTCCAAATAACTTTTTAATGACATCTTCAGTAAATGCTATGTTTGTACTATGTCCATAACCATCTTCAACAATCTGAATTTGGCTGAAACCCATTGCTTTTTACACATTGGAAACCACGCTTAAACTGAATGTTATTTATTGTGTTTCATTTCAGAGCCAGCTGTCTTGGCTGCAGGCATGTCACCCATCCAAGGATCGTGTCAGTGCCATAATATGGGAGCAGGGCGATTGTAAGAAAGCAGACATGTCAGTATTGGAGATCAGTGGGATCATCCTAACACGGGTACACAATATTCTCTTTATCCATCCATCTATCCATCCATCCATCGTCAACCGGTTATCCTGCATACAGGGTCGCGGGATATTCTCTTTATGTTTGTATTAATACTGTTACTGAATTCTGAGTTGTAAACCCTAAACCTCTTGTGCAGCATGATACAGATGTTTAAAACCAAACAATTGGACTGAGTGTCCTCACTTACTTACTTGCTTACTTAATCCCCTTTGTCCAGGATGGGACATAAGGCCGTAAACAAATTCTTCCACTGTGTGCCTTTTTTAAAGTCCAGTATTTACCATCTTCTGTGTTTTCTAGTTTGTCTACTACAGCCACATTGGTTGCACTGCAATGCTGCTTTTAAATGAATCAGGAAATATAATTATTAGTAGAGCCATCTTTAGTCATGAGATAAAGTGGCACAAAAAACAAAATGTGACATACTCACTCTGTTGAACATTTAGTTGTCAAACATAATCACTCGTAGACATTAGAACAAATATACACAGGCTGTGTTTGTTTAAGGTGGCCTTGAGCAAGCCCCTGAACCCCTAACTGCTCGGGGAGCCGCACTGAGTGGCAGCCCCCTCACTCTGACATCTCTCCATGTGTTGTTGCTTTGGGTCCTGTTTGTGCTCGCGTGTGTGTGTGTGTGTGTGTGTTTCGGACCTGTGTGTATAATACTAACAATAATAACAGAGTGAAAAAACATTGAATTTACCCTTGCGGGCATTATAAAGTATATCTTCTTCTTCACACAATGATGTTGTCTGATTGAGTAGACCGTCTGAGTTCCTGAAGCTTTTATCATCCTAAAAGATGTCTTCCTGTCTCCCTCTTGTGTTTCTCATTCACAGGTGAAGTTAGTAGAGCAGGGTATGGGTTACCTTGTCCTTGGTGGGCTGATGACTGCCACCCTGGCCCTGCTTCCCTTCGCCTTCCGCTTGGCTCAGCATCTGGACATGTCAAGCCTCGGCTCCCTGTCCCTGATGGAGGTGGTAGAAATGGCGGTGGGGCCGCCTGATGCCCAGGCCTACACCTTCTTCTTGATCACAACGTTGCAAAGAGTCTGCCTCATAGGACTGGTCTTCTTCATGATGTGTGTGGCTGAGAGAACGTATAAACAGGTGAGTGGTGACTTTGTCTAGTTTAAAGCATTCTCTTGCATCTCCAGTTATGTCTTTTCTGCTATGCCATCGGTAACTTAGTAGTTACAAAAATAATCTGAGTTTTTACTTTCCTATCATTATACTGCTGTACATTAAAACAGCTTAAACCAAATCCTTTCCATCATCTAAGAGTCATAACTCAGTCAAATCTAAAGACACAGGCATGATACATACTGTGAGATTCATCTTGATTTACACCCTCCAGAGTCAGGTAAACATCCATTTTGCTTCCTAGAAATCTTGGGAAAAAACATGCTCCTTATAAGTTTGGCTCTTGCCTCATAATCATCATTACACTTCCAACTTGAATGAATGAAGTAAGAAATAAGAGTGGCATAATCATTTAAAAATATCTTTTTAATGTGTGCATTATCAGTAGGTTTTTTTTTAAGACTGTGAATGTCCACTCAACATGGTTATCGTTTCTCTAGAACACTGACAATCTTTTATATCCATCCATGTAAAGATATTGCCCTGTCTTGAAAATATTTGAAAATACTGGCAATTCTCAAACAATGCATTCTGAAAATTGCATCAGCAACAAAATAACAACAGTCTGAGGCAGTGAAAATGGAGCGAAGTAGCCTAGGATTCAAAAATATGAATAATTGATCATTTTTATTATTACACAACTCATCAGTTTGTTTATTCATACATGTTAGCTGGTCTTCCCTCTAGTGGTATCTACTGACAACACCCTGAAACAGAATTACACACTTGAGTCTTTGCAGGACTTGTATATTCTGTTAAGTGATTTGCTTCTGTACCAGTGTATGGTTTTTATTTTTGGGTTCTCTCCCCCAACAGAGACTCTTATTTGCCAAGTACTTCAGCCACCTCACCTCAGCTCGCAAGGCCAAGAAATCTGAGATCCCTCATTTCAGACTGAAGAAAGTCCAGAACATAAAGATGTGGTTGTCGCTACGCTCTTTTCTCAGGGTTTGTATTGTCTTGCTCCAGTTTTCTTTTTATTAATGTACATTGTGATAGACTTTTACTTATAATGGTGCATTGGTGACTCGCTTGTTCATTGCAGAGACGAGGGCCGCAGCGCTCCGTCGACGTCATTGTCTCCACTATCTTCCTCTTAGCGCTGTCCATTTCATTCATCATTTGTGCCCAGGTCAGTCAAAATCCGCTGAAACAAATGTGATCTGTTTAGAGAACGCAAATTTAATAACGTTCTTATAGTGTGAATGTCTTCTATAAATATTAGATAACGGGAAGACAGCCACAAATGGAATCATCAACCATGGACTGAAGACAAGCCATAATCTTAATTAAATTAATTAATTAATTTAAACATAGAGTATAAATACTGTTGCTTTTGGCCTTCCTCAGCTTCTACACAACCACAAGGCTTTCATGGATTCTCTGACAAACTGGGAGATGATGGTGTGGGCCTCCTCCCTCATCCTCTTCCTGTTACGGCTGGCCACACTGGGCTCAGAGACCAACTGCAAATACAGCAATTCCTCAGCGCTGCTCACTGAGCAGGTAAGAACCTGTGCCTAGAAAACACATGGAGTTGCAGGTTATTTCTGAGTTGTTTCTGCACGACCGGCAACACTGTTAGCTGATTCCCAGTTAGTATGATTTAATACATGTTTTTTTTTCTGTGTCTTTATTGTACATTTGACAGTATGTAAAATTGGTCTTGGTTGCAGATCAATTTGTATCTCAAGATGGAGAAAAAGCCCAATAAAAAAGAAGAACTCAATATAGTAAACAACGTTTTAAAACTAGCTACAAAACTGATCAAGGTAAGCAAAATGGACCTCCTTTGTTTTCCAGCCTCCTGTTGAATACAAAATTGTCTGGTTTTAATTTACCACAACGTTACACCGTTGCTGAATTATTGCAGTTACTTTACTTTGGATTACACAGTACACTCGTAAATGTTCAATTTAATCTCCTATACATGAATGGCTCAAGACATCCCTAATAACGATGTACTGAGATATGTAAAATTATTTTATAATCTTGTAATTTTATTGCATTGTAATTTAATTGTTTTATTTAGAATGAAGGCCCAGTGAAGCTATTTTAGCCAATGGCCTTTCATCCACAATACATTCTGGCTTTGACCTTTTCCTTGCCTCAAGGTATGGGTGCTAGGGCAGAACAATTAATCGAAATACTATCAAAATATGGCCACGTGTATCCAAATTGCAGGAGCTGCAGTGCTTTGATAAAGGTAAAATGTGTCACTACATACTATTAAAAATGAAGCATTGTGGTGCTACAGAGATGCCGACAAATCCTGTTTTCCAGAGACCCCAGTAAAAATCACATCATCATTTTTCTATTTTTTCCAGTGAAAATTATAATAACCATTCCCACAAAAATCTGTCAAAATAATCACAATAAGATATTTTTTCTTCGTTCTAATGGCTACCTATGTTGTTCAAATAACATTGTATTCCCTCTTGCCTGCCCCAGGAGCTGGATATTCCATTCAGACTGCTGGGTCTGACCGTGAACCCTCTGATCTACAACATCACCAGGGTGGTCATCCTGTCTGCTGTGTCTGCTGTGGTCAGCGACCTGTTCGGCTTCAACATCAGAGTGAGTCTTTCTGCTAAATGTTAAAATTACGGCTCCTTGGTTTCTGTGAGAACGGTGCAAAAAGACAGGACAGAATAGATGAAAGTGGGGGGGGCACTCCTCAACTTTTAGAGGAGAAAACAAACATGAATCAGTTGCCTTTTGGAAAATGTAAGATTTAGAGGTTTTGGTGCTCATGTTATCTTGGCTTCAGTTTCTTCACTTTGTACCTTCTTTTTTTTTTTCACTTTACACTCCAGGTGTTGGGGTTGTTAGTAGCCTACAGGGATATCTTAGAGAAACCTTCTTGCTTTGATCGTGGCCGTCTGGCAGATAAGCTTGCATCATGCATGCGACTGAAGAAGATAATCTAAAATGCTTTCAAGTGGTTAGCAGGCAGTGACTTTAATTACAAATACAGTCACTGACAAGTGTCAAAGGGCCCTCAATAAAGGTGGGAAATGCCTAAAGAAATGGTTTAACATTTTGAGAAATGTGTTTATTTGCTTTCTTGGAGAGAGCTTAATTAAAAGATTTACTGTATACCACTCTCATCTATGTGAGATGTAGCCGGAGCCGGGAGGCTATTAGCTTAGCATAAAGACTGGAAGCAGGGCAAAGCTTCTAGCCTGGCTGCCTCCAAAGTTCAAAAATATACCTACCAGCTTCTCTAATGCTCACAAATTAACCACAAATTGTAGTTAATACAGTTTTCTGTGTATAGATTAAACAAAAGAGATATGTCATGTAGGCCTGGGTGATATGGTCAAAAATGTTATCATGATAAAACCATTACATATCATTCGATATCGATAATTATTACGATAAATGTCAAATCATAATTTCTTTCAAGTTTAAAAAGTCTTATTTTTGTTCCTGAGTGAAAGTAGAAGAAACCAGATGGTTAATTGTGGTTTCTTTATGGTCAGAACATGACAAACATTTGATGCCAAACAAGTGGGTCACTTCACAAATCTAAGGTACAATATTTAAAACGATTCTGCTAAAATCTTTTTCAACAATTATGATTAGGAAATCTTTTTTTCAGTCTCTTTTCCTCAACAAAATAAATAACCTAATTGAAAAAGTAAGTGCTAATTGTTTTCTGATTGTGTGTGATTCAAATGAATTAAATCAAACATTTATTGACGATATATTGAACATTTGTTATATTATTATTGAGAAAAATTATATTGCGATAATTATCATTATTGTTTTATTGCCCAGCCCTAGTATCATGTTAATCAGTGATCTTCAGAGCTGTGGGTAGGTGTAATTTTGAACTTTGAAGAGTCTTTATGACAAGCTAAGCTGAGCTCATCGCCTCCTTATATATATTTAAAGCACAGACATGAAACTGGTATTAATATCAAAACTCGCTTCCCAAGTTGTTTGAACCACTGTGGGTGATGCTGCACTCTGACCTGTGATTGTGTTTGTGGTGTTCTGTAAGATCTCTTGAAGATCTTTTTTTTTTCTCGAATGAAAGTTTTTTTTATCTCTTCTGCTTAATTTCCAGCTGTGGAAAATCAAGCCTTAGTCTGAAAACAGAAAACCACTAACAGCCAGATCCTGGAGACCAGAAACCTCCCTTGTCAGCTGCAGAGAGTCTCTCATCTACAGAAAAAAGTGCAAACCTACTTGACAGTTCAGTGATTGTCTGTGCCTTCCAACTGAAACTTCTGTCTCTTGAGTTTCATCATTCACAAGCCTAAGATGCCCTGACCATCGCTCGCACACCATTACAGGCGGCTCATTTTGTGTGGAAACACACTGTTCCTGTCACCCACGCTACTAACCCGGTGCCTAACCTTCAGGTCTGAGATTATTTCAGGCTTCTGTGGCATCCAGATTTCCAAATGTGTGTTGTACAGATGTGTTAAATGCAGATAATAATGCAGGTAGTTTTAGTCTTATTCACTGATGTTTCTCATCAGTATACTAGTGAAACTAACTGTAAAACAAGATAAGTGCTATCTAAAGCCAGTAAATCAAAATGGGCTGTATTAAATTAATTGTCATAGGACTCAACTTTCATTTCAACCTTTTGTACTATTTAAGGAGGAACATTGTGATTATAAGTCGGCTTTATTTATTCTGTTTTAGTGCTTAAACTTGTAACGGTACCTGCCAGTCTTTGACCACTATGTCTTTTTTGTATTGAGGACCATTGTTGAATAAAATTACTATGCAAAGTGGGTTTGGTTGTTTGTGAAACTGTCTGATAGAGGTGAATAAAATCTGCGTGCTTGTCTTTTTACACACTGTCTTTCATGTCATCCTCTGCAAATCCCCTTATGTTTTGTTCTGACTTAGTGATACTGGGCTGTGCGTTGACGTACCTATGCTGTCGTAGATCTATTATTAACGTTACGGTATCAGGGGGCGGGGGGACTATTACGCAGAGGCACACCTCCAGCTTGGAAGGACATCAGCCGGCCGAGGGGGCACCTCAGCACCAAGGACAGGCCGAATAGACCGGCTCATCCAGCCGCTCCTGCGGGCGCAAACCCTGGGTCCAGCAGATCGTGAGATCCCTGTGCAGACGGTGTGCAACCGCGTGTTTGGCGGGCAGGAGTCATCATTTGCTTATCGACCAGGTAGAAAAATAAATGGACGTAATGCTGTTACAAACGCGCCCTGTGTGGATTATGTTATATTTTTATGTGAGATTTCGTGTCGCATGAACTCAGTCACCCGTTTAGAGAGGAAATCATTGTCCTGATCGCTCGAATGCGGCTTTGTAAATATAGTGTGTTGAGCCAAGCTGATTTTTTCTCTTAAACGGATGATGTGGCGCATTTTCTCTTCATATTTAGCGCCTTTGGATACCGTTATGCAGTCTCTGTTACCAGGGATACATAAAACCATGTAAATGTTCCGTTCTGTTTTTTCAGAGATGCATGGAAGTAATACTAGGCTCCATTACATAAATGCCTGACTCATCTGTTTCAGATCAGCTTGGAGGATGCCCATCTGAGAAAGAGAGAGCTGATTTTGACTCTGACAAGACTTCAACATGTCTAGCACTCAGGTAGACAATGGCTCTGCAAACTCAGCAGAAGCCAAGAAAACAGACCTGAGAATGAATGAAAAGAAATGCTGTAAGTAAATAACCAAGTTTCCCACAATTAGATCTGAGCAAGTTCTTCTGCATGACTGCTTTAAGAGTCTACAGGTGCACTTAACATAATATAAGACCCTACTTTATCCACCCTGGATTGAATTCACAAGTTAAATCTCCTCTCTGGGACTCTGCAGCTCCAACCTCTCTGGGACCTGCAGGGGGGGGTATCTCTGTTGATAAAAAAGAAAAGGCTATGCAATGTGGAAACCACAGAAGGTGTTCTGCCTTTCTCTCCCAGGACCTTTCTCCATTTCATTTCTTCACATCCTGTCTTTAATCCCTGTCCACTGATGATATTTGTGTCTAAAGAGGATTTTATTTTTGTCCAGTACACACATGGCCTACTTATTAGATTGTCTTAATCCTGCAAGGATAGAAACAAAATGCCGGTTTGATGCAGTAGTTATGTTGAAATACAGCTTAACATTCCAAGACAAAATACATTTACATCTGTTTTACTTTATTTCTCTGTATGCAGTATTTTGTTTTATACAAATGCAACCACAGTATTTAATTATTATTTCAGTTTTGTCTAACTTTTGTACATTAGACAAATGTACATTAGACGGTCAGACATGATTTCCATTAAGCTTTATCGGGTTTCTATCAATGTGCTTGACTAATGTAAATGTCTCATGTGTAGCATGGGCTTCCTATATGACAAATTCACCAACAATGATTGTAATGATCGGCCTGCCTGCGAGAGGGAAGACCTACATGTCAAAGAAACTCACACGTTACCTAAACTGGATTGGAGTCCCAACCAAAGGTACATGACATGTGACAAAAATCAGTTTTCCTTATGAGTGTCTTTAAATTTACATTACATTATACATTACATACATACATTACGTTACATTACATTACTTTACATTATTCACTGTAAAGCTAACAAAATTAAAATAGATATAGCCATCTTGTCTTAAACCTTTCTTTGCTATAGTTGACACAGTTTATTGTTGTCTACAGACTGTAGCGGTCTTAAGTCAATATTTTAAATCACATTTTATCTAAAGGACATTCAAACAACCTTATTGATATCTGGAGGAGAATTTGTTGTTTGTCATAAATGAATAAAAAAGGGTATTAAGTTTGCTAACATGTTGATTACAGGTGAAACTGTATATTTATATGACTTATGGATACTTACTTACTATGATGGTCTAAACATTCTTTGTATTGTGTGTAGCAACGACCCCCACCCCCATGACTTGTACATTTACAGAGTATCTCAGAATAGGAGACTAAACTTAATTGTTTACATAAACTACCTCACCAGTGACTTCAAAGAAGCACAAAAGAGCAGATCATGATGTCATTTGTTCGTTTTGCAGTGTTTAACTTGGGCGTGTACCGCAGAGAGGCGGTCAGAGCATATAAGTCCTATGATTTCTTCCGCCATGACAATGAGGAGGCCATGAAAATCAGAAAGTAAGTTCCACTGTTACAAATGTGCTCATCACCTTGTTCTGTCATTATAGAGAGCTTTCACATATGATCTCTTAACAGTAAGGGAAGCTGTAGCATCTCCACTGTCTTGAGTGTAACATTTCCCCCAGTTCACATGGGTCTGTTTGATATTCTGCAGCATCCAGTGCTGCATCAGTGACTAAGCTGTTTTTCTAACAGTTGTTATTCAGCCGGGGTCAGCACAGTTTTTATACTACCTTAAACTTGCACTGATTTTTTGTGTGCATGCACAGACACACTACTTGACAAAGTATCTCTACGTGGTTATTTGTTTGTATTCACTGCTGATTCCTGCAAAAACACAAATAAGGAATATAACTCATTCCATTCTTATCCAGTTGTAGCAATCAATTGAAACAGGGATTGTGGTTCGTGGCTATCATGAAAATGTGACAGGCTCTTGTCAGCATCCCAGTGCTGAATTGTGACCTAGATATTAAACAAGCTGCCGCTGTCACTCTGAAGCTGACATAAGCTCTCCTTGGTGTTGCATGGGTACTCAACCTGGGTCAAACAGCTGTAGCTTCATATTTATCCTACATATATGAGAGTGGTATCGATCTTCTCAGCTAACTGTTGGTAAGAAAACAAATGAGTGTATTTCCCTGTGTGTGTGTGTGTGTGTGTGTGTGTGTGTGTGTGTGTAGTTTCATTAAATCAATGGGATCATTTTTATTGTCTGTAATTTAACCAAGACATTGTTTGTGGAAAAATATATTGCTGCTGATAACTAATCTTTTAACCCAACAAAAGCTACAAAGAAGACATGAATATTTTTTAGATTAGCAGTTTATGCAACCATGCAGTGTAAATTTCAGTGATTGTGGATTTTAGTGAATGAGAGCATACTGAGGCTACTGTTTCCATGTTTCTCCCACAGGCAGTGTGCTCTGGTAGCTCTGCAGGATGTGAAGGCGTACCTGACGAAGGAGGGAGGTCAGATTGCGGTGAGTCCTCTCGCTGCCATTCTGTCCATCTGTCTCTCTGTCTGCCTGTGTCTCAGTGCTGGCTCTTTTCCAAAAGCTTCAAAATATCCAGAACAGAAACGCATCTGACAACTTTAATCCCAAACTGTCCTACAAACATTTTACCATAGAACACCCATGTTATACATGAGAAATTTCTTTATTTTTTCTCCTGTGCTCCTTTTTATTAGGTGTTTGATGCAACAAACACAACAAGAGAACGGCGAGACCTCATTCTAGCTTTTGTGAAGGAGAATGCGTTTAAGGTAAGTTATTCATTTATATTTTGCAATTATTTTTATCTTTTCCCTTTTGGTGGAAAATGGACTTTGATATTTAAATATACAAACTGTGCATGGAGCAGTTTCCTGGACTGGAAGCAAGACAACGTAACCTTTGCTGATATGTGGTTACAAGATAATGGCACATTAAATTGGCCTTCATCTTCAAAAATTCAGAGTCAGCCAGCCAGCTCCTTTTAACGCATCATCATGTGTATCTGTGGCCTGCTGAAGTGCAGTGTAACAGAAGTAGAAAATGAGTAATGTGAGTCAGCAAACTTACTCATTAATATCACTTTATTTTTAATAGTTTTAATTTAGAAACACACTTAAAAGTACCCAGTAGAGTTCTTTAACACTATTAGCACTATGGAGCAATGTTCTGACAAGTTGGTACCTGTTTTGATTGTATCGCTTGATCATGCTCGAGGATGCACAATACACATTCCTGCTGCCAGCGTCATGAAATACCACTGATTATCAGACTTTTCCAGTATTGCACCAAGAAAGTTAGTCACACTCCAGGAAATGCAGAAAAGACACCCACCAGCTAGCAATGCAGGTTTCTGCATATTCAAAAAACTAACTTTGCAAATGTTTAATGAGGAAGGAAATACACTGAAGATTAGATGTCAGGAATGCACACTGTTCATTTAGGTAAGAAACAGTGAATGTAAACATAACTCTTTTTGTTTACACAAAAAATTCCACAGGGTACCTTTTAATCTCTGGCAAGGAAACTAGCTGATAGTGGCGTTGATTCAATGGACAGTTTCGAGGAGCTTTTGCACATGTTGACCCTCTGAGCTGCCCTCTTTCCAACAGGTGTTCTTTGTGGAATCAGTGTGTGACGACCCAGAGGTCATTGCTGCTAATATTCTGGTATGATCTCATGTCACCAACAAGACTTTGGGGGTTTGACTGTGACTTCTTGTCTGGGTCACACTCGTAATCTATTAATATTCACATTATCTACAGTGATATATATGAACTACCGTGCTTGGTCACATTGTTTGAATGTGCTGAATACCTGTAACAGGAAGTGAAAGTGTCCAGTCCAGACTACCCTGAAAGACACAGAGAGAGAGTAATGGATGACTTCCTCAAACGAATCGAGTGCTACAAGGTTACCTACCAACCATTAGATCCTGATGATTACGACAAGTATGAACTAATCAAATCCTTCTGCTTCTATTTGTGGGTGTTTTTTAAACAGGACATTATTTTATGATGTTTAAATAAAATTAACTACTACTAATAATTAAGCTATGTGATTGTACCTGTAAAGTTTACTTTGGAATGTTTTTTAAACCAAGTAATATAATATTTCACATCTTGTATATTATTTTGTGGAATTACAGTTGCAGTTCAGAAAACGAACACTAGATGGTGGCAGTAAACAACCATTTGATTCACCTACATGATTAATTGCCACCTGCAGGGACCTGTCTTTTATCAAGGTGATGAACGTGGGCCGGCGTTTTCTGGTGAACCGTGTGCAGGACTACATCCAGAGTAAGATTGTCTACTATCTCATGAACATCCACGTGCACTCTCACTCCATCTACCTGTGTCGGCACGGAGAGAGCAACCACAACGTTGAAGGCCGCATCGGCGGGGACTCTGAACTTTCTCCTCGAGGGAAACAGGTACGACTGCCCAGGTTCTCATTTTATGAACAGCAAAGCCAGTGTCTTCTGAAAACCCAATTACAAGCCTCTCTTAGCATGACAGCTCAGTGGGATAAGGGGTAGGGCTACTTCAATACTGTAATATTAAGGTCATGACCTGAGTCATGACCTTTATCACATCTAATCTTTTTCATTTCCCCATTTCTTGTCTCTATCCCCTGAACCTAATGGAGCAAAAATACCGTAAGAAATTCTCTCTGTCTTTCTCACATCCCAGTTTGCCCATGCCCTGCGAGATTTCATTGAAGAGCACAAACTTTCAGATTTGAAGGTGTGGACGAGCCAGCTGAGAAGAACCATCCAGACATCGGAGGAGCTGGGTGTTCCTTATGAACAGTGGAAGATTCTCAATGAGATTGATGCTGTCAGTACCCTGTCATTTGCCTCGAAGAATCATTACATATTCATGAAGCTCTTGTTCAGTTAGACAAAACCTTTATTTTAGATGTTTTTCTGAGACACTAGATTGGTGGGAAGGGTAAAAGTAAGTAATGCAATACAAAAGTAAAATGACTTCATTGTAGAGGTAAGAACTAAAAATTCACAAAGCTTGTCAGTCCTTTTGTGCCTTTTCAAACAACATCATGAGGAAAAACAAAAAAGAAAACTAACATTTCAGAAGGATACTGGTCACAGAAAAGAAAACATTCATTAGGAAATCTTTGACAGTGCAAGGAGAGTTATACTAATGGTCATCATTTAGTCAGGCATATTAGTTAAAGCACATCTACTGATTTCAACTTCACAGGGTCATCATCAGGGCGTCAATCTCTATGTAGACAGTATACTAGAAATAAATATTATTACATCACATGTGTAATCAATAGTGTAATCAGTATGTTTGCTGGTCTTACTGCTTGTGAAACTTTCTTTATATAGCTTCTATGTGGAGTATATTTAAATCCAGCGGTCATGTTTTCTTGGCAGTGAAGTAAGAATTTAGTGCAGCAAAAGGACATTCATTCACCTTTTTACTTGTGCCTTTGACATTAAAACAAATGCTCTGTTGTCCTTGTCCAGGGTGTGTGTGAGGAGATGACGTATGAGATGATCCAGAACACACACCCAGAGGAGTTTGCTTTGAGGGACCAGGACAAGTACCACTATCGCTATCCAGGAGGCGAGGTGACCTGACACACTCCTTTCATCCTACAGCTTTGAAGAATTACTTTTGTTTCAATACACTGATTTCATTTTAGTAGGGCTTTTTGAAATGCCACAGTAACATCACAGGTGTAATTAATCAAATTAATGCTGACTAAATACCATTTAGATGCTTCAGTTTCAGGGCCCTGGTCACTGTCATGACTTACTGGGATACTATTTCTAGTACCAGTACCAGAACACATAGTCACACCTGTGCTTTTCTTATTATGACAGTCAAAGACAAAATGTCTGCTGTGAAAGTCAGCGTTTTAGTCATGTTAAAATAGTGGATCTATTTAATTCACAGCTCTTACAGTTGCTGTTAGACACTTTAAAAGTTTATGAATTACTTACCTTATAACATGTTTAAACATGGCCTTCTGCCTTCTCTTTGCTTTCTCCAGTCGTACCAAGACCTTGTCCAACGTTTGGAGCCGGTTATCATGGAGTTAGAGAGACAGGGCAACGTGTTGGTTATTTGCCACCAGGCGGTGATGCGCTGTCTGCTAGCTTACTTCCTGGACAAGAGTGCAGGTCAGATAAACACAAGTGCACACACATATATGCACATACTAGATCACACCAGCAGATGATAAGATTTTGTATGCTCTCTTCATCCCATAGAAGATCTACCATACATGAAATGTCCACTCCACACAGTACTCAAGCTAACTCCTGTTGCATATGGTAGGTCTTTACTTTAGGCAAAACTCTTTGTTTACACCATGAGACTGACTAATATGCATTTCATTTGAATGTATTCTATCTTTTACCTTCTAGGTTGTAAAGTGGAGATGTTTTATCTTAATGTGGAGGCAGTAAACACACATCGAGACCGGCCTCTTGTAAGTGGCTATGAATCAAGCTGAAAAATCACATTGTTGCTAAATGTGCTGATAAATGTGCATTTAGCATCACTGAATGAAAGCCTTGGATGTGATTATCTATGCAAAAGAATGTGTTTATTGTTAACTCATAAAGCCATAATTCTGAACTTCTTCTTCTCAAATCTCTATATCTAATCCAAAGTAAAAAAATCATAGGCTTGTTTGTTGTGTCTGCCAGTTGCGATGCAATCACACTTCATCCCCTGTGTATGAAGCTTTGCTTTCTTAACTCACTTTCTTATATCTCTGTTTTGCTGTGTCCCTTTATCTTTAACCTTTAAATAATTGATCTTGAGCTATGAGTGAATGAATGTTAAGGCAGTTTTTAATTTGGCAATATTTTACGTTGATGGATGCAATGGCTGATCATGCTACTTTGCTTGGCTGATCCTTACCATTGCTCTGGTTGCATCCTGATATGTAGATTATGTATACTCTATGACAGACAATGCTTTTCCATTTACAAGGTTTAGCATCATGATTGAAGCAGGTGTTTTTCTTTCTTTTTCTGTGCAGTTAGGGATGTTACTGTTCATGAATGTTTTGTATTGTGTTGTGAAATGACTTGACTTGAAACAGTTTCTGTCACTGTAAACGGCTTCAGTTGTTGCACCTGTTGCTGTGGATCCATGTGGAGAGGATGGCTAGTTTGCTTGGCTGTGTCTGGTCGGCCCCCCTCCTCCCGGGATTTGTATGTTCCCTGATCTTTTTCCTTAATACTTGCGGTATTTCATTTCCTACCAGGGTAAAATCTCGATGGATTCTGCTCTCATACATCGGCGGAATAGTTACACTCCTTTGGCCAGTCACGACCAGGTCAAGCGTCCCAGGCTCTACAGCGCGGGCAACCAGCCCTGGCTACCTCTCGCCCCCACCCCATCAGCTCTGATGCCAGAGGGACGGCAAAGCCAAGTTAGTGCCAGAGTTACAGGCTCCCCCTCTAAATCAGTCACCGTCAACTGTAATCAGTCACCTCCCACCACAGTCGTAAACCTGTGTTTGACATTCCCTTGCCTCAGTTTTGGATCCTCACGAAGATTAGTGTCTGTGTTGAAAATGACCTACATGGAATCCATCTCTCTATCTATCTTTCTCTCTCAGGGCATGTTTTGGATCTTGATTGGGTTGCTCTCTTCTTTCAATGTTGTGCCTGTGTCTGTTTCCAAAGTGGAATGTTTTCTTGCATGACATCTGCTTCACCACTGGGATGTCTCCGGCTTGAATATGCAGAACAGCATGCCTACTTTTTTTGCTGTGGAAGTCTCCTCATGGGATACAAAAGACACACAAACATCATCTTGTACTATATTTTGTTACAAGTGATAATGTAGACATTATCAGCTGTACATACCTTTCATAATTCTACAGTGACTAAATCCCATTTGAGAAAATTAAAATAATACATACATGATAACTGTTCAAAAATGTAATAATTTAAAAATGCATATTCATAATTGTACGTTTTCTGTAGTTGTTGGCCTTGGCTTGTGGGTACAGTGCTTCAGTCCTTCTCCACATTTCTATCTCTCTCTTTCTCACCCCACTTTCTCTAAACCTGTCTTACAGCCTCGGATAGGAAGCATTTGTCTGTGAGTATTTTGGAGACTCAGAACATGTAGCCAGCCCTTCATTTTCTTTCCCATAATTCAACTCATGTCATTGTAAACCATGTCACAGTGGTGAACTTTGGGTTTCTGTAACCTTCCATTGCCTTTGAACTTTATTTAGAATAAAATCTGCTATCAGTTTTTGTTTCATCTTATCAGCACTATTAGACACCGATTCCTTGGTAGTGTAATAAATGGTAGCAACAATGAAATCGACCTCAATTAAACTCTTTGATGCAGTATTTGTTGGAAACCTAGATATATTACAAAATGGGAAAAATAATGTAGCAACTTGACATGTATAAAATTATGGAAATCTAAGGGTGTTTGTGTATTAATGTACTATATTATGGAGCCAATCAGACACCAGGTCACAATGTGATTAATAAGTACCAGAAATTGAAATTCAATCAATTTTAAGTCATAAAAAAATTATTAATCACTTCTTGAGAATGTGCTAAAGAAGCGTCTCCTGTGCCACACTTCACATGACCTAATTTTCCAAATAAGAACTTAAGACTCCTGGGCCCCCGGGGAGGTTATTGGTTTCCTCGAATAGGATTTGCTGCTTTAAGGCAATAATTTGCAAATGTCAGTGACATTTTCGTTTTTCTTGAAGGAGTCCCTGTGCGAAGGAATCGACTTTGAAAGCCCAGAAGAAACTACTGGCTGTGTCCGCTTCTGAGTGAAGATGAATGCCTCGCTCTTCATAGCACAATGTGGGCGAAGATTCAAAGGTTTCAAACATAGAAAGATGTGATTTTTGATTTTGATTTTTTAAAACCACATTCTTGGAAAAGATGGTCAGATTAAAAGTAGGATGAAGTCAAAGAACAGTTTCTTGAGGCCACCTGCACAGAAGGTCATTTTTTGGTCTTATCTGTCTCAATCTCTCTGTTTAACTTTCCTCTGCATGCTGAGGCTTTGAACTTAGTTATTAGTATCATAAACACTTCTGCATGTGTGCCAAAATCAATCAATCAACCAAAACAACATACTGTATTTCAGAACTGGCAACTAATCCTTATTGTAAATATTACAATGCCTTACTGAACTTTAAATCTATAGATAGAAGTAGTTCCTCTGTATGCCATTAAATATAACAAGTTATGCATTATTATGACAACAACTTTTTAGTATTGGAAATAGAACATGTTGTAAAGTAGAAGCTGTAAAAATATTTTTATAATACAAATCCACTCATCTACCTTATGAACAATCTGTAGCTGTAATTCTTATTGAATAAGCCATCATTTGTTATCTCATGTTAATGATATGCATTGTAAGTTTTATGTGTTGTTAGAAAATACACCACATTGCTAATTATACAAGCAGTAAATAAAGAAACTTAATTTTCTCTCACAAGCCTGCAATTCTCACACCTAATGTATTACGCTGGTATTATCTGTCACAATGAACACTAAATCCTAAATGCTCATCTGTTAATCCATTGACTTCTTGCCTTCTGCGAATTCTAGGAAGGGATTTTGTGCAACAAAAACATAACATGTTGATTGTCTGTTAGCTATTTCTCAACATTTGTGTTCATGTTATCATACTGGCCAAATATTTGTTTTAATTGCTTCATGCTTTACTCCTTAAATTCCTCCATCTGCCATTTTAACAGTGGTAAAGGTTTAAATATGACAATGTAATGTGTGACTGTTGATAAGTTATTTCCCTGCTCAAAGCAGCCTACTTGTGCCTTTTTAGCAGGCAATAAAAGTGGAGACACACATCTCTGCAGCACATGGCATCTTCCAAATGGAATGATCCACATCTGTTACAAGTCATTTTATTATTTGTGACTTTCATTTAATTGTTGTTGTTTAATGGGAAATTGTCTCAAAATTATTAAAGAACTGAATGAAACACAGAATCTGAGTTTTTTGATAAATATTAGGCCTCAGTTACTGGAAGAGAGATGAAATCAAGGACATTACACTTTATGATTGGGGGACAGGGGACATATTACAAAAAGTTCCTATCTTAAGTCTTAAGATTGAAAGAAAAAAAATACTAATAATGGGCTACCGTCATCATGTTTTTCATGTAGCCTAGGCTATTTCTTGAATTTAACGATCTCCTCCTATCAAATACTTGCATTATGTTCCTTGTTGTTAGATCAAGCCTTTACATTATGTAATGAGACATTATCTAGCGTTACATCGGCTACAGCCTTTCTACTAACGAGTGTTTTGTCATCAAACGCATCGGTAGAATCAATTAAGTTCTACCTGTTGACATTTTGTTAATTTTGTAAAAGCAATTAAAGAGCAGCCATGTGGATTAAACGAGTTATTAAACACTACCTGGTGGAAAAGTAAAAGTTAGGACAGCTAAACAGTTATCCTAAAGTTAGGAGAGTTTAATAAAGATTTTACAAAGTTAGGATGCTTCTGTAATACACTTTTCTTATCTAAAGTTAGGAAAGGAATATTGACTTAGTCTGTAATGGCAGTTAGGATAGGATCTGCTGGTTAGGAAGTTTCTGTAATATGGCCCCAGGGGTGGTGGATGCATCTTCCTTTACACATCACCAGAACTGGAGCGAAACCTTAACACAAAATGATCTCATCAAATATGAGCAGAAACATCTGTAATAAAAGTTTTTAAAGCACTGGAAACTAGCCTCATACTACAAATTTAGCCTCATAACAGAATGTGTTTTATTCTGTAGGTCTACATATCTAGAAATCTGATCATTGTGGTGGGAAAGCCTATTGTTATCGTCCCACTACTGAAAATGTAAATGTGTAAGATAATCTATTATTTGTATGACAATAATGGCACCATGTGATAAAGTCTTGATGTAACCTTATCGGTGGTTACAACAGACTGTAAGATACTAAAAGCACAAAACAAATGCAACATAACTTAAAACAAGATTGTGAGTAAACCTAATTTGAATCAGTCATGTAAATCTATTGTCACAACCTGGCTCAACAGTAAGTGACAAAAGCGGGAAACCACACAGAAAATAATAATAGATATTTTAATAAGTAAATTAAGCAAAATATACAATTGTAGGTGCCTGTCAGATTAGTATATATGCAGTGTATGTGTGAGTGGAGTGTATGGGTGTAGAACACAAAGATCCAAACAGAACAGAATTAGTCGGCAGGCCAGGAGAAGAGGGAGTCAAATCATCAGGCAGGATCCTTTATAGCCACCTGAGCCCCGCTTGATCAGGTGTGTTGCATCTCACATCAGGGGCAAGTTCAATCTCAAAAGGCCCAGGAGAGGATGTACTTCCTGCGTCAGCTCAGGAAGCTCAACCTGCCTAAGGAGCTGCTGATCCAGTTCTACACAGCCATCATCCAGTCTGTTCTCTGCACCTCCATCACTGTCTGGTTTGGATCTGCCAGCAAAAAGGAGAGGAGCAGACTACAACGTACAGTCAGGACTGCAGAAAAAATAATCGGTGCCAACCTGCCATCCATTCAGGACTTATCCATTTCCAGAGTCAGGAAACGGGCAGGGAACATCACTGCAGATCCATCTCACCCGGGAAACAACCTGTTCCAGCTCCTCCCCTCTGGTAGGCGCTACAGAGCACTGTTGCCAAAACCAACAGACACAGAAGCAGTTTCTTCCCACAAGCCATCACTCTGATGAACAGCTGATTTTGGACTCACAGTGTCAGGAACAATTCCTGTGCAATAACCCAGTAACTCTGCCTCTAATCAGACACCTGTTTACTGGTTTCCACTTATTATTTATTTATTCACCATTCTCTATTTCAGTGCTGTTCATACTATGTCATATTGTATATACTGTATACCAATAAACCTACCTCAGGTCATAAGGTCATAGGTCTTATTTATTTTTTCCAGCATCCTTTGCACTATTTTCCATCACACTGTGTACATGTGTACATGTATACGTACCTGTATATCATATCCACCTTCAACATGTACATAATGAGAATAGTTTACTCTTGCATCCGTTGCACTCTGATTACTGCACTATTTGTCAATATGTCTATATTGTTTTGTTCATAGTATGTATATTAGTGTTGTCTATTCTGTAGTTTGTGTCTGATTTTATTTTATTATTATTTTATTATTGTGTTATGGTATTATTGTATAAGTAAACACATCGTGAGCAATGTACAATCCTGAGTCAAATTCCTCGTATATGTACACATACCTGGCAATAAAACTGATTCTGATTCTGGAAACGTTTTGCACCGGTTTGCAACGTTTTCGTATTGCCCACCAAACGGGAGAAAACCCTCGAAGCCTGTTGCAGAACGTTGCGCAACTTTGCAAGGAAACATGTCGTTCAATCAGAAAACGTTGCAAACCGGTGCAAAACGTTTTGAGATTGAACTCGCCCTTGGATTAAAGGGACAAAACACAGCAAGACACAAAGAACAAGATGGGGCCGAAACCTGGGGCCCTCACACTATAATAAACAGGATTGTGCAGTTATAGACTATCTATTAACTTTCAGTATTAATCATGACATTTATGCTGTTTTACATTTTAACATTGTATTTTTACATGTTTAGTTATTAGTGTAGCTACAAATGACAAAGGGATTTTGAATGAGGTTTTCTTACTTCTGGAACAGAAGCCGAAGTTACGGTTTCACTCCGACATTTAGAGAATTTACGGTAAATGTTACGACTTATCAGACAGAGAGCGTCACGCCGTCATGCAGACGTAATGTGACGTTCTACACATCAGACTCTCAGTGGATGTTTCTTGTTTGAGGCAGGGCTGCAGTAAATAGTAGGTAAGAAAATAAAATAATTAGTCGTTATGTCTGTGTACTGTCGTGTAAAAGATATGTCAATTGACATATAACAGAATTTACCAAAGTTTACTCAGATGCGAAAGTCTTGGGGAAAAACTGTTCAGTTAACGCCAAGTTAATGGTCAGATTAGCATGCTAACGTTAGCAGATAATACAGTTAACGTTAGCTATCGTTGTCGGTTGTCTCTGAGTCAGAGAAAGTAACATAAGTTATGTTTCTTCCAAACATTTTCATGATAAATTACATTGATGTCTTGACTATTTGTCGAAGTGGCTCGTAATGCTGCATTTTTCTTGCTTGGCAGGGAGTTGCTAGCTTAGCCCACCATTTGATTTGTCTTGCTGTTGAGTGAAGTCGGCAACGTTAACTGACAGAACAAAGAAAATAAAACAAAGCATGTCGCTGTCATGTGTTTTACTCCACTGATGCTGTTCGTCAGCAGTTTAATTGTTAAGCCGGTTCCATTTGGAAAGCAGTAGTCTAACATAATGGCCAGCATAATGTAGGGTATGGGACATCCTGATTGTTACTGTGTTGCATTGGCTAACAAATACAATTAGCAAGCTAATGTATCTTATCGCTACATCATAAAGCAGCTGAGTTACTGAGCTAACGTTAAATAACAACCACCACAACAAGATGTGACTCTCATAACCAACTCGAGCAGGCAGCAGTTTGGGATTACAAGCATATTTTCTGAAAGGGTAAAACCATGTTTAAGTGACTCAAGGTCGTTAGACCCCCTCGCCGGTGAACCAGTTGTGTTACAGATAAAGATGCAATTTTAACTGCCACTTTGTGCATCAGGCATAATCACTGTTTTTATTTAAACTTTTGCACTAATGTTAATGAATTAAGGTATGATTTTAGTCAAAGATGAATAATTGTTTAAAATCTTCCTCAAATAAAGGCCACTCCTCAGTTGAGGTAAATAATTTCATTTTAAATGATACTGAGCCTTTTGTTTACATTTTGACTAACAGTAACCAACTGTCTGACTTTTCTGTTTGTATTTCTGAAGTAGTAAAGTGGAAAATTAAAACGCTTTCTGTTCTGGAAATTAGACAACTACTTAAAGCAATGTACAGACCATCTCCATGTTGTGTTCCTTGAATTAGCTATAATAATCACTTTCATGCAGCCCATATCTGCTGCAAAGATGACAGCACAATTTTGTTTTACTTTCAAACTAAAAAAGTGACTTATTTACTAACTGTTCCATTAGAATGATACAAGTCTAATTTGCTGCTTTCTTCTTTTTTTCTGCCTTTACTGTGTGAGTCAATAGAATAAACAAATATTTATCCAAACATTTAATGAGCAACAGAGAATTGAAATAATCAGAATGACAACAGCAGAAACAAGGTTGTAACTGGATATGAATATTATTTAATATATTCCCGTTAGGCTTTTATAGTCACCAACAAAACCAAACTAACACAAAATTATTAATCATGATGTCCAGAGTGTGTCCTGTTGAAGTTGCTAGCTATTACAATCTCTTGAGGACAACTGCCTTGGTGGATGAGCAAAGTTCATACCAGATACTTTCAGTGTTATTGATATGTTGTCATGTTTCTGCAGGCAGGATGTTACGGCTTCGTTGTAAAACCAAAAATGGTAGCCACATAATGCAGGGCTTGACTCATCAGTCCTGTGTTCAAGAGCTGAAGAGGAAGGTGGAGGAGCTGACTGGTATCCCCTGCGATGTGCAGAAAATTATGGTTGGTTATCCACCCTCCAGCCTTGATCTTCGAAATGGAGATGCTCACCTCAAGGACTACCCCATCAAATCAGGTATGTTGTCAAATATTCAGATAACTAATTCATCCTCAGCACTGCTCCAGTGATGATAGTTTATTTATATTACCATTTTTCATAATTGATTCTTTATTAATATTGTCTGCTATGTAGCAGAAGGGAGTTACAAAACTCAATTTCACTCTACAACTTGTTATATTGTGACAATAAACCTACCTACCTACCAAATGGACACCATTTATTGTAATGACATGTTCCAATTAATTTTTTTTCAAGGTGTTTCATAACCTGTATTGACTGGTTAACATTTAGATATGTTGTAGAAGAAATAGTCATTATCAAAACAATGTACAGTGTTCAGTGGATTACTCAGAACAGCTGTGACACCATTTCTGTAAAACTTTCAACTTTGAACTTTCAATTCAATTGCATTGATGTTGCAGCAGAAATCTCAAAACCTAGCAAACCTGTTTTTTGTAATTTCTCGTTTTGTAATTTTCTCCTTTTACCCAATCTTACCAGGCTGATTTGTGTTGTGTCATCCTGTACAGGAGACACGCTTATTGTTGAGGAAGAAAAAAACAAGCCAAAGCCTCAGGATCATCCCACTGTGACTAAAACACCACGTCTGGAAGCCTCACCTGTGGTGGCGCGCCGAGTAGTCCCAGCTGACAACTCCTGCCTCTTCACCAGTGTGTACTATGTGGTTGAAGGTGGTGTATATGACCCTGCTTGCGCCCCTGAGATGCGAGGCCTCATTGCCCAGATTGTGTCAAGTGACCCCGCAGCTTACTCTGAAGCAGTGCTGGGAAAGACCAATGAGGAGTACTGCGCTTGGATAAGACGTGACGACACCTGGGGAGGAGCCATCGAGGTGTCTATCCTGTCCAAGTTTTACCAGTGTGAGATCTGTGTGGTGGATACTCAGACAGTCCGAGTGGATCGATTTGGGGAGGATGCTGGCTACCACAAACGCGTGCTGCTCATCTATGACGGCATCCACTATGACCCTCTGCAGAAAGAAACGCCCGGTTCAGACGCCCCGCCCCAGACTATCTTCGCCACCACAGACGACGTAATCCTGGCCCTGGCCCTCGAGCTGGCAGATGAGGCTCGCCGCAAGCGGCAATTCACAGACGTTAACCGTTTTGCATTGCGCTGCATGGTATGCCAGACAGGCCTGGTCGGACAAAAGGAAGCTCGTGAGCATGCCAAGGAGACAGGCCACACCAATTTTGGCGAAGTGTGAACATCGTTTTGTCTTTTCTCCCTCTCACAAATACTACCACCACCAACCCCGTGCCCCACGTCTGGCAACTGTTGGTCAATCTGCTTGTGCGATCCTCTACCTCACATTGTCCAGCGACATCGATGGAGAATCTGCAGACACTGTATTCAGCCTCTAACCAGTTCAGTATTTGGTCTTTAACTGCTGTCAGTTCTCAAAGTCAGAAACGCTACTGCAGTGCTCTGATGTCAGACCATCATTTTAGTCTGTTAAGGATGGTTTAAAATCTGTATAACTAGGTCAAGTAAAATAGGCAAACAATTCTTAGGATATGTTTTAAATCTGTTTAGATTACTCGATGGGTGGGTTGTATTGATAACACACCAAATAGTGGCTGATGTGTTGTCAATTAGAAAATGCTCCAGATTGGCAATTGGCTGAGTTACTAAACTTGTCTGTGATAAAACCCCACTATCTGGCTCTAGAAAGAATTTAAAACGACCACTAAGAATTATTTGCACCAGGATCCGATCACTTTTGTCTTAAGCGCAGCACACAAAGTTTGACTGTTATTCATCATGTTGGTTATGTAGCATGTTTTTATTTCCATTGTTGATAGATGTATGTCAGGGAAACTTTTCCTATATGAAAAACTGATAATTTTGATGAACGCTAGATGTCTGAATTTTTCACAGTGGAGCTGTGTTCATGCTAAACTGGATTCGTCATTATCCAAATGTGTCATTTGTGACATTGCTTTCAATTTACTGAGCATTGGCCATTGAGTATAGATTTAGGATTGAGATTGAGGATTTGCAATTTGAAATGAAGTTTGTGATGCAAACTTTTTGCCCCCACCCCCCTTTTTTGATGTTGCAATATGGTTTATCGGTGAGCTTATTTTAAAGACATAATGGTGCTGAAAACAACACATCTTACAAAATCTGTAGCTTTTCTTTCTTCATGGGTACAACAGTTTAGGAGTGTAATTTTTAATTCTAGTGTGTAATTTTCAGTTGCCATCATGCTGCAAAACCTAATCCTTAAAGAAATACAAATAAAACATTTTTTTATGGTGAGAAGGTGTTGTATTGACTAGGAATCTGAAACGAGTGGCATGATGACATGCAGTATGTTATAAAGCGTGCTCATTATGAATTTACTGATCAGGTACAGTCCATACATGATGTGTTAACCATTTACCTTTGCAGTTTTAATGTTTCAGCCCAAAAGTAACACTAGTCAGGGTGTTTGAAAACTAAGCGTAAAGGTCCATTTTTGTTTAATATGTAGTGCATGTTGCCCAAGAAACACTATTCTGTTCCACTCTTTTTCGCACAGTTGGAGTATGTTCTCACGTTTTCAACTAGAGTCGGGCATTATCTCTTTGCTTATTCCTTTTGATTCTCACCGCCTACAAGGACAAAGCATGCACTTGTGTTAAACCGCAGCTCAATTTGGAGGAGGCCATGAAGATATTTGTGGGATTAGTAGTTTTTTTTCCTTGAAGCCCAGTTTGTGGCCTCATGTTGTACAGAACCAGTATTTTTACTTCACATACCTGTGACGGTAATATTGGTACGAGTTGTTGCCAAAAAATTACGTTTCACAGTGGAGGACTTGATTGGGGCTTTCTTTCAGAATCTTTTTTGGTGCAGAATTAGATGGTGTGAGAAGATCTAAAAGGCAAAGCAGAAATGTCAGATAATTTTTTTGTTTGAATGTGAATTACTATATTTTTCCTCATCTGTTATCTTAGGTAGTTTATTTAGTTTTAGCAGTGTATGAATTAATCTGCTTGCATACAAGTGAAACTATGAAATGGCTTTGTTGTATTTTGTATTTACCAAGTTCTCATGACTCTTCAAGGACAATAACAATGAATGTTGCACACAAAGCACTACAGAATAACTGGATTTACTTGATTTTTTTCAGTGTTGTGTCACAATTAAAGGTTAAAGCCGATGGTGTGTACGAGTCACTTTGTATCAAATATTTTTTCTTTCAGTTTACTCTTTAACTTGCATTAGCCATTGTTTGTTTCATGTCTGTAGTGATTGTTATAATTTCATTCAACTTACTTTCTTACAATTATTGTAATTAACATTTCACCCATCTATTTATAACTCGTATTGACAATCCATGGTGATTGGGCATAAACCCCAGTTGGCTAAACAACACCGATCCTGTGCCATCGTAGTTGGATTACACTACGTGCATGTTATTTTAAGGAACATCTACTCTTAATAGGATATAAGATGTGTTCACTAGCTGTTTGACCAAATGTAGCAGCTGCCACTGCTACTACAAAGAATCTGTGTGCAAGATGAGAGTTGCAGTACAGTTAACTGTGCATTGTACTTATTAAGGTATCTGTACTTGCCATATTTCCAATTCATACCACTTTATACTTCTACGCCACTACATTTTAGAGGGAAATATTGTACTTTTTACTCCACTACAATTATTTTACAGCTTTAGTTACTTTCCAGATCAAGATTTTACATACAAAACATGAAAAGAAAATATATATATGATGCATTAACTACCCAACAGTATATAAAATTTGATCCTAAACGACTGGTTGATTAATCAATTAGATGATTAGTCAATAAATTTTTTGAAAACTGATTGTTTTAAGTAATTTTCCATGCAAAAATGCCAAACATTTTGTGTGTTCAGCTTCTCAAAATGTGAAGATAAGTTTTTTTTCTTGTCTTAAATGAACAATCATTTTGACTGTTGGTCAGACAAGACATTTGAAGGTGTCACTAATTTTCATAAATTAAATTTTCTATGTTTTATAAACCAAACAATAAAGGAATTAATCAACAAAATAATCAGCAGATTAATCCATAATAAAAAATAATCATTAGTTGCAGCCTTATAGCCTATAAAATAGTTCATTAGCTCCAACTCAACTGCTTTTACATTGAGGCATGAGAAAAAATAATCTAATGCTAGTATATCATATATATGTAGTATTTCATAAGATATATGATATATAGGCTACTCACATGGGCCATTTGTCTGCATTGACTACTTTTGATCCTTTAAGTAGCCTATGTCTTGATAATACTGATATAGGCTACTTAGTAAATAACACTTTCAATGCGGGACTTTAACTTTTTGTAATAGAGTACTTTACTTTTAGTTCCTCTACCACTGAAAACTACATTGGATTGGGACACGGCGTTTGTTAAAGAAACAAACAAAAAATAGGATGAAAACAAGGTACATGGTCCGGCAGAGACCTGAACTGCATTCACGTGTTCACGTGTAGTTAATCACTTATGCTGCTCCGCTTCGGCTTTAATTAACTCCAGCAACGTGAATGTAACAGAAATACCGCTAATATCTGGGAGTAATTGTCTCATAATAATTACTAATAAGAAATCCGTTTACATTTCATTTAATATTAGCTTTAACGAGCCTGACTACCACGGTTAGCAGAGAGTTTGAAACAGATAGTGATTAACAGATTACTGCAGTTGACTGTACCATGACGACGGGGACTTGTGTGGCTTAAGCAGAATGCGGCTCTCTGATTGGCTAAAACCTCAGGGGCACAAAGTCCTTCTTGCAGGTATCACACAGCCGCATACCGCGTCTTCACTTGCACAAGGAGCAGAAGATGGATAACAAACTAATACGCGGAGATTCAGATTCAGGTATGTGGTCTAACTAACTCTGAGGTCAAACTATGTAATATAAAGGTGTTAAGTGGGTTAAATCGTGTTGAATCTGAAGTTAATTATATCAACGTAGGTCATGGTGATTTCAACTATTTTTTATTTCCTCACTTTTATCCCTGATTTTAATCGATTCTGTTGCAACCTGATAATGTGTATTTGTGTATAGTGTCATATTATTGTAATTTATGAACCTGTTAACCTTATATGCCTGACTAAAGGCTGACTAAACACAACAATTAGCCTACAATGTTTAGTCAGCCTTTGTATTATTTGCCGGACAGTTGTCTTTCAGGACTGAAGTAAAAGTTTAAGGCGCATCTACAGATCAACAGTTGTTTAGCTAGGCGTTAACTACTTCGTTGAGACTGTATTTGGGGCAGATAATCTATATTAGGCTACAAGGGACACAGAGGAATCTGAAGGCAGAGGGTTGAAGGCCAGGTAGTGAAAGTTAAAAAAAAAAAAGAAAAAAAAAGGATGAGTTCAACCAGTTGCATATTCTGCTTTAAACAGTGCATTAAGTATAATAAAACCTGGGCCAGTTGCTCTTTTATAGCCACAATAAAAACAAAAAATGAAACTGTGTTATTGGGCCAGATATTGCTTAATGTTTCCAAAGAGTTTGATATGGTTACATTTATTGCCTCAACCTCTGTATTACATGGTGTTATGAGAGCTAAGCTCATCCTGTTTTTTCTGGCGGTTCCTCCTGTGTTGATAGGTGTATCTGTATGGAGATAACATGATATACCTTCATCTGTGTTTAAGATGTCCTTTCACTGGAAATGGTCTGCAGGGGTTAATGACTAACTACATTCTTAGTCTGAGGTTTTGTTACAACAAGGGAAAAACCCCAAGTCACACTACACAAGTTACAGCAGAGGAAGGAAAATTTGATTACCAAAAATCAGCAGCTTTGAAGTTTAAAATACTTTAAAATAAGTGAGTTTTTTTCTTCAGTTACCTCCAGCCACAGCAGCTGCTCTTGTTATTTGCATGTGATCGACCTAGATTGTGTCAGGTTAAAACACAATAAACGTTATCTCAGAGTTTCCACTGTTCAGCTTTGTATCCTGACCTGCATGCAGCAGGACAGAAGAGGCCATTTACATATCGGCCTGGTGATAGGAGCGTTCTTTTTTTTTTTCAGGGATGGGATGACATGGCAAAGCATGAACAGTGAACAGGAGTGCTTTTGTGCCTCCCTTGGCCTTGGATCTCACAGCCCTTCTCGCTCAGGTGTTGAAAATAGTGAATTTCTTTTCACTAGGACCAGACAGAAGTTCCTTTATACTCAACTCCCAGCTCTATTTCTACTATTCCAGTAGAAATGTTTAAAATGTATTTATTTTCAAAAAAATCTCATGCTCAAATATATGTTAAAACAACTGATCCTTCAAATTCTAATGGCCAGTTATAAGTAAATGCATCATCAAGTGTGTCACATTGCCAGAATAGTGCATACATTTTATCATCCCCAGGAGTACACTAATCCCTAATCATGGTATTATCATTTACATTCTCTTTGTATTTCACCTCCTACAACTAATGGGAATTTCTGTTGAAGAACATAGACCCAGATTAATAAAGTCACAGTAAGACAACATGGTCAAACTGGATATCGTATAGCTTTCAGGAGATCATTGCTGCTGCCCTCCACTCCCTCTGAAACTGATCCGACTGAGGAAGATTAGGAGTGGCATATGTGCTGTAATCTGAGTCACATGCAGTAAGAGGACTAGTTCGATATCTGTCAGAAACACACTAAGCACACTATGATACCCTGGCATTTTCTACCAGCAAGGCTGTGCAGAAAGCTGGTAGACACACCCCAGGTTTAACCAGGATGTTGCATGTTGAGTTGATATTTAGACAGGTCTGCGTGTAAGTCTGTCCATTTACAAATCTAGCAAAGAACCTAATAAATCATAAATTACACCTGCAGCTTCTAAGGACCATTATTTTTAGGTTATTCATAGTCAGTTTACTATGTGTAATTTACATTACTGTGAACAATTTGCCAAGCATACTATACTGTACATACATGTAAGTTATAAAAATTAACTTGCAGTCTAAAGATTTGCTTAAATTAGATTATCCGTCAGAGTAAACATTTTGTCTCCTTTAATTCGTTTATATCTCAAATGTTATGTTACAGTTGCACAGTAATGCAATTGTCAGCATGGATTGTTTGAGCTTCAACATCCTGGAGCTAAAAAAAGTGAACAGCCTTAACAAGTGAAAATCAGACCTAAAGGAACACTGAGCAAGTATGGATGTTGTTCTTATTTGTTGGGGGTAGAGGTTTGATGACGAAAAAAAAAATGCAATGATACCGATGATGATAGTTTTCTAAAACAGTGCCTTAAGGAAAGAAATGATGAATTGATGAAAACAAAAACGTACCAAAAGGATGGATCACCATTTGTTTAGATAGTTAATTCTACAGAGGCTGTAAAGGGCTTCTTTAGAATTTTTTCGAAACACTTTCTATTCTATAGTTTTGAGTTACCTTTCAGCAAATTCTCTTGCAATAATTTTAAGTTTCTCTTGTGATACTCTCCCCTAGAGCTCTGGTAGTTCATTCAGTAATGCTGTATGTAGTTCTTTAAAGCATGCTACGATATTATAAATGTGTTATGAAGACACAGGTTCTGTGCAATATTTTATATTTCTTAATCAAAATATCCAACCCTACAAGGCCAAACCACGTATGCCATGTTTAATAAAATTAAAGTAACCCAGGACTAATTTAAGCCTGGGTTGAGATAACCCTAGGTTACCGCTACACATTTGACACAGTTTGTATTTAATCCTGAGCTAATAGTAAAGACGGATCAGCCTGATCTAGAGCTATCCAGTGCCATGTGGTGCTGATTACTGTTCACAACAAGTTCCCTTCCTCTACATGCGAGCATACATTCGTTGGAAACAAATGTACTTGACTCCAAGACATATGTTGTTAATCAGTGTCTGTGCACATTGTACTGTCACTGTATTTTTAATCATAGACAAAACTATAGTCTAAATTCCATTAAAGTTAAAAGCTTGTCATATGACAATAAATCAGACGTGGTCAGAGCTGTTGAATTTAGAAATATGGTTGATACTTTAACAGAATTTTCAGTGAGAAACATACTTACAATGCTACTGAATTTTGTGGTTGGCAAAATATTTTCTCTCTATGAGCAGTGCTTTGTTGATCAACAAGTGCAGATCAAGCCCTGTAGTTTTAGTGTGTAACCGGTCAGAATTCACACTTTTGTTGGGGATCTTTTTTTTTTCAATAGTTTTTGCACTAAACATCTAGCATGAGGAGCATATAGCATATTTTTTTGTCGCAAACCTTCATACCGACTACCGGTATTGAGGGCCAGCCTTTGTGTTCTTAATCCACACTGCTCATTAAGGGTCTGGACACTGTAGGAATCCTTTCTCAAGAACAAGAACCACACTTATCGGTGTAGTCCAGTGTGCCTATTACTTTACTATTAGCTTCCATCTCCCCATTGAAGTCAATGTGTCAAATTTACTCTTTATTTTACAGTGTTTTAAACTTTCATTATTTCTAAATAATGAAATTGTTTATAGAAAAGCCATCATAACGTCACACCAGTGTTTTTTTTTATGCCTACAGGCTGCGCACACATCCTCAATAATTTGTAAATTGGATACCATTTTACACTAATTAGAAATTGATACATGAAGTTAGCACAAAGTAACACAAAAGCTATTGTAAGGTTAGAGCAGAAATATTGCAAGGAAGTATTGCAAGGGAATGGAATAGGAAAGTATTTTAAAGAAAACTCACAATGTCGTCCTTCAGGGATCATTAATTTCATACAGTACAAAAATGAATGCAAACTAATGGCTGTCTGGATATAGGCCATCTAAAAATCTGTGGAAAGTGGTCTACAGAGACGTAAACAATGGTTAAAATATGGAAAACAATTAGTATGGTTTATTAAAAGGAATCAACTTTTAATTTTATTAGAATAATGTCGCTCTTCCAAGCTTGTAGAGGAACAGTTTAAACTGTAATTCTATCTCACCATGTATTCTCTTTTAACAGAGTGAAAGACAACAATCTGTGCCACTAACATTGGATAAGTAGGGCACTAAGATGCCCAAAAGTGATACCTGGCCAGGTGGCATTGGAATGGAGACGATGACTGGCATAGACAGTGCTGGCAGCTGTGACAGTGTTGTCAGTACCAACTCTGGCTTTGTAAGTTAGTGACCTTACCCTCTTGAATCTTAAATCTGAGAATGTTATTAGTTTCACTGTAACTCATTTCACAAAACAACAGGAAACATCAAGACAAAGCCATGTAGCAAACTGAGACATGAAACATAATCTGGTTTCATAGTTTTGTGTCTATTTAGAAGTAAAGGGTTTAAAAGGCCTTGAACATTGTCATTGATCAATTTTTCAGTTCTTTTTTTGTTTGTTTGTCACTTTTGGGAGATCTCATTTGGGATTTTTTGTCAAAAAAGCCCTTTTTTTATGTATTACAGAGTGATGATAGTCTGGAGTACCTGTCTGCTGAAGAGAAGGCCTGTCTCATGTTTTTGGAGGAGACTATTGAGTCGTTGGATACTGAGGAGGATAGTGGACTGTCCAATGATGAATCTGACCAACTGCCTAGCACTGGCAACCTTGCTACCAAACTGGCTGACCTTTCAGCCTCCATGAGCAAAAGCATACTCGACAGTGAGTTAATCTCTGTGCACAGATGCAGGATTAGCTAAACAGTAGTCAATTAAATGCTTTGGAGAGATGCATTGTATTTCTAGTGACAAATGTGTTTGTTTTGTCTTTCAGGCTCACAGAAACATGACTCTGAGCAACCCATGAAGGAAAATGTTGACACCAAACCCATGCAGAGCTTCCTGGTTCCTACACCTCTTGTTGTGGCAAGCAGCTCTCCATGTTCTGTACCCAGTGCTAAGACAGGCATCCCTCCAGACAAAACCCTCAGCTCCAACCTCAGTCCTTCAAGCAAAGAGCCTGGTCACAAACACAACCAGAAACCTGTTGCTCCCCAAGTACCTTTAGAGGTAAAGGTTGTGATACCTCCTCCAACCAAACCCAGGGACTACTCAGTTAGGATAGCTGAAAGTCCTTTACCTAGAGGTCCTCTGTCCTATGAGGCACTTGTTCACCTGCGGAGGAGTGCCTCCACAAAGAAGACGCCTTTATGTCCCACAGTTGATCATACTATAGACTTTGACAAGCATCTTCCTGTCACAATACCCCCAAACCTCGGAAATCTGCCCAGATCTGACCGATCCAACTCAGAGCCTTCAAAGTTTAGGACAGGTCCTCCGGTTGTGGCCCCCAAACCCAAAAAGATTCCTTCCAACATATCTGTGAAAACACAAAATGAAGCATCCATAACCTCAGATTCTTCATACAGTGTCAATCATGCAACAGATCCCCAGGTCGTGAGACTGGAAGCTTTGCAGAAGCTGGGCCTCCTGAAAGACGAACAGCCAGAAAATGAGACAGTGGTCCCAAAGTCTCCGCCTAAATCTCACTCCTCTTTGGACCCAACACCTAACAGATTTACAATAAGTCCATCTAATGTTAATCCATCAAGAAGCCCATCGTTTTCTTATTCTCAAGTGCCCACAGAGCCCAAGAACAAACCTCTGCAGAGCAGTGCCAGTTTCCATCACTACTCCAGACATGACCAACAGCCTGCGTCTGTATCACATCCTGCTGAATCCAATAGATCTAAGACAGCCAGTCTGGAGCGCTCCGCCACCCTGGACAACCACAGAAATGGTGGAAACTGTCCCGAAGCGCAGCACATCACAGCAGCCAGGCCAGTGAAAACCACCACTGCAGCTCAGCCTGTACCCCACAAACCTTCAAACTCAGTTGCATATACTGTGATGGTGGTGCCTGGGATGGGAGCGGATCGAAAAGAAGCACTCAGAAAGCTTGGACTGCTCAAAGACTAATACAGATAAACAGCAGAAGTCTGTCTGCGTAAATGCAGTACTCAGAAAGAGTTCAGTACCATCAGCTTAAAGAGAGTTAGAGCATTAAGCGGGAACTTGGCACGCGGCAAACTGAAGCAGAAGAGGATGAAAGAGGGAAAAAAAGAGCAATACCAGCATTTTTAATGTAGGTCATGGTTACTTACTTAGTTGAGGGCAGTTTTGTTTACAAACTAAAGCTCTTAAAAAGGTTTTAAGAGCATCTGAAAATGCACCATACACATTTAAAATCCTTGAGGCTCCATTTATTAGATTACAATGGTATGTTAATGTAATGCCATCTAATTAGAATCTCTGTTTAGATGTGACAAGACAAGGCAGAATAGCACACCAAATCAGCCTAAGAGTGCATAAGGAAAAAAGTAAGCAGTTTAAACATCAATTCGGCCTTTGACTCCAAATCAGATTTCAGAAGGGTGGTAACACACTGAAGCAAGTCAATTTCTGGATTAATTTTTACTTATTTATTCCTGTACATAAAATGCTACTCCACTGCTCTTCTACTTAAAAGGAAACATCAACCCAAAATCAACAGAAGTCACTGATTGTTTCATAATTCACAGATGTGCCTGTAATTGGATTGTTGAATACATTCCTTGGAGCAAAGCCTCAAAGAAGCAGCTCATAGTTGTGAAACTACATTTTGAAAGTGTTTTGGGGTGATATTTCAGTGTTTTCTAATCTTTAGTAGCTACCAGCAGTACATTATTTTTTAGATTCTGATGTATCAATATCTTACTGATTTGTTTCTAATACTTTTTTATACAGTATATATGGTTGGTTGGTTGGATGGTTTTAGAAATGTGTCACAAACTGTCCATGTAACTGCCTTGTCTAAATACTGGAGATGTTCATACAGAATGAAAAACATTCGCCCATGATATTGTGATTACTTTTTCCTTTATGATTTCCAAAAATACCAAATAAAGAAGTCTGCACTTTAAATACTGCGCATTGTTATTGTTGCCATTAACTGTATACTACTTCATGTTGACTGTTGACTTGTGAAATGAAATGTGATTAACTTGAATTCTGAAAAGTTCTTCTTTTCAGACTGAGCTGTTGAACAATGTCCCTCAGAGTTAGTGTGGCAGAAATAAGCAAAGGCCCCTTTAATTCAGTCAAACCAGCACAGTGGCTTTACACAGTGGTCTCTGCTTTATCCAAAACTCCACTTACAGAATATGCCATCAGTCATACTACTCATCTTACACGCAACTCGAGCATTGAGAAAGCCTGCTTTGCTGTTCTTATCATTACCTGATTATCTAGAGCCCTACCTCCATACTAACTTAGCAGACCAGTGTTTCCCTTTCTCTGTTTTCCCTTGTTCTGATATCCCCTGCATGCAAGACTTCTAGATCTCCCACTGACTTATGTGAATGACTAGACATTAGTTGTGCAACAGCCTGGAAGCCATTGAATTAGTAGGTGGTTGATTATTGCAAGAGATGATTATAGTTGCTTTCTGTAGTGTTATCTGTCAGTAAGGCAAGGGGCTCGCCTAGTGGGCCAGTATCTATGTCTAGTATGTCTGTGCACAGGCAAATAAAGGGTGTCAAATTTTGAAATTGACACAGCTCTCTGACGGTCAAGTAATATTAAATGGATGAAGAAATCAGGCCATAGCTAAAGTTAGAAATATGATACTCAGACAGAAAAGTGAGCTGCAGAAAGGATTGAGTTCATCAGTAGAGATACAAACAACCATGATTTTTGAGATGTTGCTGTGTTGCAAAAACTGAAAGGATCATAGGATTATTTTAGATCATTTGTTATTAAAATAATTCTATGCAACATTTTTATACTGGATTCAAAATAACTAATAATAATATTCAGATTCTCAAGCATAAATTAAGGGTTCTCTCATCTTTATTAAGCTTAAGTAACGTCAGACCAAACTTCACAATGCTGACCCCAGGTCATATGTGACATGAGATACCCATCTACTACCTGTCAACACTGCTGCCTTGACAACAGCCCCTCAACACATTTGTGACAGCCGCCCATTGCTATGACACTTCTGACTGGTCTGAGATCTTATTGCTTATTACCATTCATCAAACACTAAACAAGCCAAATTTAAAGGACTTTTTTGTAAAGTAAATAAAATTAGCCATAGATTATATAAAAAATAAAAAATAACTAGAGCTATGTTGTATAAGGAACAGGTTAAAAGTTTGGTTTACAAATCAGTAAAATACCTTAGAAGTTAAATATTACAGTGGATTGGACTTTTAAGTCTCAAAGAGCATGAATCACCAGTTTTTAGGTACAGTGCAAAAATTAAAGGGTAGTATCATACTATAGGTAGACATTGTAGACATTCAAAATGTGATCTAAAACATGACACAACTGGACTCGTAATGTCCACAAAAAGTGTTTGTTTACATTGTAGTGGTTACCAGAAATTCAATACATAACAATTTACTATATACTGTATGTGATCGATCAAAGTGTACAAAATCAGATGACAGAGGAATGTGTTAAGTATGCAGAGCATGAGAATTCAGTCTTTTCAAATCCCCTCACTGTGGATGTGAGGTTTGCTTTTTTTGCGTTTCACCTTACCATTGGACACTGGGACACCCAACGACTCTAGACGGAAAGGGCGTGGCAGGACAGAGTCTGAGCTAAGAGGCAGGTTCATGGTGGAACCACTCACAGTGAGGTGGGCTGCCCCGTTAACCAGGGGAGGCGAGTGGATTGCTGTAGGAGAAGAGCGCTATCAGATGGGTAAAACCAAAGCAAGACACTTAACTGCTCCAGAGACGTGCGACCTCTGACATGTATAGCAATTGTAAGTCGCTTTGGATAAAGTGTCAGCTAAATGAATAAATGTAAATGTGGTCAGAGCAGCAGTGTGCAGGTCCTGGTCTTTACCATGTCCCTTGGTAGCCTCACGTCCCAGCAGTTGGCTTGCTCTCTTTGACTTGAAGTAGCTGCTGGCGATGTTCTCACTATCACTACGATCCAGCATTTCTTTGTACCTGTCCTCCTCCACCTGCTAAAAACAGACAGGGGTAAGACTTTGTGACAGTGTGTCAGATTAAAATATGATGCATGGAACATAAACACACCATGAATGGCTCTCCATTATCAGCAGCTGAACCTCTGCGAGCTGAAAGTTTTGGAGCCACTGCTATGAGAGAAACAAAAGCAAGATAATATTTAAGGGAAAGAATCCACAAACCACATATGGAGCCACACAAGCTATATTGTCACTAAAAACTGATGGCCTTTTACTTTCCATTTTCTACATGCTCTCTTCACATGTTGTACCTGAAGGAAGTGTTGTTTTCTGGACCATCACATCCGGCAGGCTCCAAGTAGCGCTGTCCTCGTCCCAGACAGCTTCTTTCTTCAAGCGGTCCAGGTTACTGTAGTTGCAGTCACGGCGCACCAGTGGCACCATGCGCTCCAGCAGGCAGTGCAGTAACTGGCCCTCCCTCTCCAGCCGCCGGATTGTTGCTAAGTAGTCATTCCTTTCCACCTCGAACTCCGCCTGCAGGTCACGGATTTCCAGTTTGGCCGCTTTCAGCTGTCACAACAGTTGGATGTGGTTTAACGGTTGAGTGGCAGTGTATATAATTCAGCACTGAAAGCTCAGAGACACTATGCAATTTTGATTTCACATTACCCAGCGTCATTTAGTGCTAACCTTGTAAGATTTTTGACACTGAGTAAACCCTAATTTACTGTATGTGGTATTTTCTACTGCACACCGTGAACTCAGTTGATGAATATGCACCATATTGAGGTTTTGATGAGCAAACAAATTACAGTTTAACCTCCAAAAGAAGTCAATTATTTTACTTTAAAGCCTAATGAAAGTAGAAGTAAATATGTGTCACCGAGAATTTTGAGTATACATATAGTCATTATTGTGTCGATCCATGAGGACTAACAGCATGTTTCCTATGAAACTGAAAGACAACATATATTTGAACATTTCAGAATCACCAAAATAACGCTTGACAGCAAAACACCCAGAACATATATTCCTTTTATGTCACTATCCATTTTTGAACATTGCTCTCAACCTATTGTATGTCCCATGGAACCTTTTACATGTGTCCTACTGCTGCTGTGACCCACCTTGCCCTGGACTTTGACCAGCATTTGGCTTTTGGCATGGACCTCTTCCTGGATGGAGTTGTAGACGTTCAAGAGTACGTTTTCACTCTCCTCGCTGTTCTCTGACAGAGCGTGGATAAGATGGACTTTTCTCTGGTCTGCGAGGTTCTTCCTCTGCCGGTGTCTCTGCTGTAACTCTTTGTTCTTGGCCTGCTCTCCTCCTACCACCTCCTGTTCCAGCTGCTGCAGTCTGGGGAGAGATGGATGACTAGGAATGCGGCATGGAGATGAAGTAGAATAATCACAAACTATTCAAACAATATGACAACAACAGGCACTTGAGCTGTCTAATGCCCCATGAAAATGGGCATGATTATATTAAGCATAACCTGCTATACTAATTAGGTAATCATAAATAGTTTCAATTAGGACAATATAAATAATGCTTTAATAGGCAAATATTTCTTTGTCAGCATATCTGCATTCTCATAACATTTTATATAAACTGTGAATTTTAGAACTTAAAAATATAAATATTATAGAATGCTAGTGTCAATAAATTAAAATAGTTTTTCATTTCAACTTATAATTAAAATAAATAAATAAATAAATAACCTCAAACCTTGTTCGGTATTTCTGTACTGCAATTTCTTGTTACTTACTGGCCAACATAGACACAAATACTTATATATATCCTCAATAATACTGGCCAATATATTTACTCTGTGAGCATAAAAAAATCTGGCATGTATCATTCTTCAATTGTTGTGTTAACAAGACCACGTGTCAGACCATTATGACGACATGCTCCACATCCTGTGCACAATGTTGGCAATGGCAAGACATGATGAAAAAAGAAAACCTTTATCATAAAGTGCGTGCAGTACTGATGGTTGGTTATGTATGTGAAATGTGCGCCCACAAACCTTTCAAAGACGTGTTTCTGGTCCAGAGGCCCTGCAGCAGGGATGTCAGGTGAGTGTATGCGCTCGTCTCTGCTTGGGCCTTTTTGGACGCTTACTGCTGCACAAGGTACAGCAGGCTGACTCACCAACATGAGGAAATAATACCCAATAAG